CAAAAAAAATAATAATAAATTCGCTATTATGTTGAAGCTTAACTCTATTAAAGTTCATTCAAACACTCGACCACACTGACCGCTCGCACTATAGAAACGAGAACCGGCTGGCCGTATGGGTGATTTTGGAAATTGTTGAACGGTTTCGCTTTACGATTGATCGTCCTGAATATTGACTGAGTGCATTTTGTCTTAAAAAATTGTGAAATACTGCATTATGTCCTAGGTCTGTATGATAAATAGTACTGTTTCACCTCAAATGTGATGTATAAAAATTATAAAAGGTTGGTTTAAACACCCCCAGATTTGTTGGCAAGAATTTGTAAAGTAAACCTGTCGAACGCAAAAAAATTCGGCGTGATTTGTTTTCCAAGAATTTCTTTTCGAGGCCTAATCTACTGTGATCTTGAATGTGTGCTATTTTTTGGGTGTACATATAAGGTTATCAATTCGATGTAAGATGTTTCACTCTAAAATAACTTAGCCTTTCCCTCAAAAGTCACATGAATGTGCCCTTAAGTTAAAAGATTTGTGGATTAAAAGTTTATTGTTTGATTTAAATTATAAATTTCTTAATTGGAGCTTCGCTTTTAGCCCTGGCTAAACCTATATATTAACAATTTTGAATGAATGTTCCAGTACATCACTAAAGCGTGTGAAATGGTCTCATATACACGCCTTGTATTGAAATCTCTATAGCCATTGATAGGTACAGAGTTTTCGGTGGATTTAAATGATTCAAAGTCATCAATGATTCAAGTCAGAGAGAGCATTTTGCCCCCTTCTGTCCTCCCCTTCTTCTTTGGGGAGTTTTCTCTCTTTTTTTTCTTTCTTTTTTCTTTTTTATTTGTTGATGACTATTTTCACTTGTTTATATGTAACACCACCTCCTCAAACAACAACTCAGGTGAGTCACCTGAATAATTTTCAGGCACTGAGCTGGAAATACATTCACTACATTTCGTTTTCCATTCTGTAAGGTTAATAATTTAAAGCTGAAAGGAAGTCTCCTTTGAATTTTTTTTTTTTAATTAACGAAAGGAATTTTTATCAGTCTTTGAAGGTAAGACAGTGTTTCTTTTCTTTCTGACAAGCCTAGTATATTCTTTATAGCGGTTTAACAACAACTCTGTGATTCATGAAAACGAGGCCAACACGTGACCGTTTACAATGTATTAATATTGACCAATATTGTCACCAATTGGGGGGGGGGGGGCAGGAGAGTAGCTTTCAAAATATATTTTCCACTGTTATTTGAGCTTCACATTCTTTCTTACAGTTTGTCACCTTTAGGTGTCGCAGTGCGTTTATCGTAGCTTCCGATTAGCTCGTTTTACCTATTTAAGATGCTGTTTTCAGTTTGTTCTCTCTCTCTCGCTTGCGACCTTAGCACTTTAGAGCTGTTTTCTACTTCGGACGTTTAAGATCTCGTCGAGTATGCCTACTCCCGGAGACGCGGCCGAGGAAAACAAGGGCACTCCTAGGTCTTTGGAGCGAGATGAATCGCCGATGGTCAACGAAGTTTTTTCAATGTTCAAAACATACTCAGAGTCTAAGCTAGACGAAAAGACTAAGCAGCTCAAGTCGAATGGCTTCCAATGCCATCGCTTGATCCGTAGGACTGTTAGGATCGAAGACAAGTAAAGTTACGTGTCGTCAGCGAAGCAATGCGCATCTCAAAGAGCTTGGAGGCGTAGACCGGATTTGGTGTCTCTTGTGGGACAGCAAATCCGAGACCTGGATTATTCAAGATGTCCGAGAAACTGCATCTAAAAGTTGTTTCATACAATTTTTTGAGGAAAGGAACAACAACGGACGGAATCAAGCAAAACAAAATACGAGAGAACGACCGGACAACTGACAATTTGACTAACAATAAACGACTGTTTAACTTTGACCATAGACGGATCGAAACGCACCAATGACATTACGATTCTTCATAGCTCATAACATCACGGCTTAACAGACAGACGACTAAAAACATCGCAAATTAATTGACCAATCAGGTCAATAACCAGAGTTTAATAACGTCAACTGACGTGATACAACCCACTCTGACTCTGAAGATGACTACCGCACAGAGTGTCGAAACGTCAGTCACTGTTGTACATTTTTTTACATACGTACATTTTATTTTATTGTGTTTTGAAGTAAGAGGACAATAACATGCCCGCGGGTAGCTAAGCTAATCTAGGCGGGTCGTGTTTACAGAAAATAAACTAAATACAGCTGAAAGTAACAAGAGAACTAAAGAAACTAAAATTGACAACAATGGCTAGAGACTACTGATAAACTAATGGTATTACTAATAATAAATGACAACAGTTATGACAAGAGACTACTGATAAACTAAACGATATTAATGATTACATATCAACTAAGAGGAAAATAAATTCAGCTTAACTTTTTGAACGATTTCTGGGAGATCAATATAACAGTCCTCTGAAGCTAGGATCTCAAAAAGTGTTGGTTTTATTTTCCTCTTAAAGGCATTTTTTGAAAGTTTTCTTGAAGATACAGGCATTTCATTCCATATTTTTGTTCCGATTCTAGAAAATGAATTCACTTGAATTGAGAGTCTGGAACTTTGTGTGTAAAAGTTATTAGAGGCAGAGGATCGAGTATTATAAGAATGAATATCAGAAATATCTTGAAAGAGATCTTGAATGTTTCCTGGAGCATTATTGTGTCTTATTTCAAACATAAGGTTAGCTAAATGCTCATAATACAAAAATTTTAACGGTAAAACACCGGCGTCAATAAATAAAGGAATTGCATGCTGGTTTCGCTCAGAAGAATAGATAAAGCAAAGAGCTCGCTTTTGAAGCTTGAGAAGCTTTTCAAGGTGCGATTTATATGCTTGGCCCCAGGCCATCAAACCATAAGTTAAATAAGGAGCAACAAGGGATCGATAAATAGTTAGAAGTGTATGTCTTGGCAGAAAATGCCGTAGTTTACAGATCAATCCTACAGTTCTGCTCATTTTAATAGCTACGTGGTCAATATGATGTTTCCAAGAAAGATTATTGTCAATTATTATACCTAGATATCTCACAAATTCTTTTCATTCTAGAGCCACATTCTTATTTTGATCATTGTCGAATATCATTATTTTAGGGTGATAGGTAAGTTTTCTCTGAGCCGGTCTAAAAATGACAAAATTTGTTTTTTTAATATTCAAAGTTAGTTTATTTGCCGTTAACCAATCGAACAACTTGCAGAGTTCTTGATTTACAGTCGACTCAAGGGACTTGAGATTTTTGTCAGCATATACAGCATTCGTGTCATCAGCAAATAAAAAAAAATTAAGTTTGTCAGAGGATTCTTGGATGTCGTTGACATAGATTAGGAAGAGTAATGGGCCTAGGACTGAGCCTTGAGGCACACCGCAAGTGGTATTTTTTTTTTTTTTTTAGATATAAAGGAACCAATTTGCGTCGTTTGAGTTCGACCTTCTAAGTAAGACGAGAACCACTTATTTATAACACCACGAAAACTATAGTGATCTAACTTGTGCAAAAGAATTTTATGATCGACTGTATCAAAAGCCTTTTTCAGGTCAATAAATACACCACATGAGAACAAGCGCTTGCCCATGTTTTCCTGAATGGTACTTACAATGTCAAGAATTGCATGCTGAGTTGAGTGCGCTTTGCGGAAGCCATATTGAGATGGAGAAAGTATGTCATTTTGCTCGATGAAAGATTCCATTCTAGAGAAGACCAATTTTTCGAAGATCCTATTAAAGTTAGACAGCAAAGAAATAGGCCTATAGTTGTTTGCGTTAGTGTTATCTTCAGCTTTAAAGATAGGAATAATTTTTGCCATTTTTAGTTTAGTGGGATACATCCCAGTCGAAATAGAAAGATTTATTATTTCCGCGAGTATACTGCTGATAACATTTGACGAGTACTTCAACAGTTGAGTAGGACATGAATATAAACCATGAGATTTGTTAATTGGTATGCGCAAAATTTCCAATTCCACTTCAGCTGGGGTAACTAGGTTGAAAGCAAACGAAGAGTCAGGAGAGTTAGATCTGTTCCAAAAATCAAAATATTTACGCTGAAAGGTTGGTAACTTATTTGCCAGTTTAGGTCCAACAGAAACGAAATGGTCATTAAGAACGTTGGCTATTCTACTTGGGTCACTGGTGACAGAATCATTGTCATTAGGGTCCTTAATAAAAGTAATAGGTTTTGTGTTCTTTAATTTACGGGCAAGTACATTGTTTATTCCCTCCCACGTTTTTTTCATATTAGTTAAGTTATCATTAAAAATTTAGAATAATATTGCTGTTTACTTAAACGCGTTAAGGTACAAATTTTGTTTCTATAGATTTTATAATTGGCGGTGTCACCAGATGCATATAACTTATTTTTAACTTTAATGGAGATTCTTATACCTTTGGTAATCTATGGTTTAGAGAGTTGCTTTGCTTTGCGGTTTGAAATTGTTTTCATAGGTGCATGTTTATTTATTAATTTGTTAAACTTGTTATAAAAAGAAGAAAATACATTGTCCGCATCACACGGTTTTTTACTTAAGAGTGCATTCCAGTCCACATTAGAGAGATCAGCGTTAAAACTGTCCCTAGAGAATCTAGAAAAGTCCCGCACTTTCGACTTTTTTATCTTAATTTTATCCCTTATAGATTTCAAAATACAGAATTGCGAAAAATGATCACTTATATCAGAGATTATATTTCCACAAGCGACAACTTGATCAGGATTATTAATAAAGATGTTGTCAATTACGGTGGCGGAGGTAGGGCGAACACGTGTTGGTTTGTCGATTGAGGGAAAGAGAAAACAACTTTGAAGGGATGACAAAAAGTCGTGACTATACGAAGATGATGCGCATTTTAGAAGGTCAATGTTGAAGTCACCCATGATTACAATGTGTTTCCCAGAGGACGCAAGTTTTTCAATAGTCTCATCAAAATATGATTGAAAGATTTCGGGTGAGTTATGCTGTCTATAAAAGATTCCACAAATAACATTTTTCTTATTCACAAAGGAGAACTCATTCCACAATACCTGAAAAACTTCATTAGAGGTCTTTTCTAAAATACGATAATCAAGCGATTCATCAATAAACATTCCTACTCCCCCAGACGCCAGAGGTATTGGAACATATTCAAATACGTAGCCAGGTATATGTGCTGTGCACATTTGTAAATTAGCATTAGCGATTTTTGTTTCAGTAACTCCGATGACATTAAAATGAAAATCTACTTCATGCAAAAGTTGCGTTTGAAGATTCTCCAGGTTCCGATTAAGGCTGACTACGTTGTTATGAAAAACAGAAAAGCTAGAGATAGTCTCATCTTTTGAAAACTTCGTTTTCATTTCCTTAAAACTATGGGGGGAGAAATATCGACTAGTTATTCTGTTAGGGGAGTAATTAGCGGGGTTAGTAAGCTTGTCTAATTCCTTTTTAGTTTTAAATGTGGTCGATACTGAATTATTAAACTGGCCATGAATTTCTGCCAAATTGAACAACTATAATACGGTAAAACCTTCAATGTAGATCTAATAGATTTCATTGCAATTTTGTTCCTGCCTTTCATAGTAATATCAGTGATAAAACATAATAGTAGTTTTCACTTAGCTGCAAGGATCCTCCGATCGAGCTTCAGGGCGTTCACGCAGTCTTAACTTAGTTAAGTCGTCAGTCGACCTCAGACGAATCGTCATAGAAGAATCCGTTTTGCGTAGGAAGATTGCTGCGCCATTTGCCCAGCACCATTTGTAGTTGTATGTGTCTTGGTGCGCCTTCGCTGAATGTAACAGCTCTTGTAGTCTCGGCGTGAGGTGGCTGTAAATTGCAATCGGATTAATTTCAGCAGTGGACGGGAGATCCAGGTCCTCGGTAGTTAGTCGACTGGCGTTACCTCTTGACGCCAGCACTGTGTTTCGTGTCATCCTTCTAGTGAATTTGCAAATTATCGGGTTCGGTTGTCTTCGGTTGCCATTACCGGTTGAAGTATCTCGCTGTGGAACCCTGTGGGCCATGTCGATCTCTGATAAGGAGACATCGACTCCAAGGCCAGAAAATAGCTTCACACACAACTCCGCGGTGTCTTGTGCAGATTCGCTTTCTGAGATAAGTGGAACGCCCACGATCTTCAAGTTATATTGGTAACTGTAGTAGAGCATCTCGTCGATAGCTTTGTCAATTCTGTCAACGTTAACTGTCAATAAATCCAACCTACGAGAAAAATTTTCTAGTGCTTTTGACAAGCTCGATTCTGACTTAACAAGGGCATCGTAGCTGTCGCTGAGGAATTGGACATCCTGTGTGTTAGGTAAAGCGGCAGCTGCCGCTTCGTGGCAATCCTTCTGTTCCGCCATCTTGGACTTGATAGACTGAAATTCCTTCTTCAGCTCATTCAGTTGTCTCTTTAAATCATCGTTTTCTCTTCTTAACGCTTTCACTCTATCACCCATTAGTCAACGAAGAAAAAAAGAAACGATCTTAACTAGCCTAGCAACAAATGAACGCGGAGCGCTAGCTGAAGCGTCCGGTCCGATGTAACAAAGTGAAAAAGCTACAGTCCTATTCAGGACTACGTTTACCAGGATGATCACACTTAACCTACTTATGAAAAAACACACCATCACACAAAACAATGTTTGATTTCTATCCTTGGAATCATGATGCATTATTTGCATAACTACCCAGTGAGAAAAAAGATAGTGAAAAATTTGTATAATATAACCATAAAATTTGGCTTCCCTGCCTTTTGAACCTAAAAGACCATACAATGCCGAACATGATTTGTAAAAGAAATTTGAATAGGTTTTTAGATATGGTTAGGTTAGGGTAGCAAACCATTTGGCTTTTACGGTTAGACGAGCTGCTACATGACCTCTCTCCTCGGAGTGAAGAAAAACAATATTGCCGCCGAATACATCCTTTTAGCTTTTAAAGGTCTCCTTTATTAACAAACGTTGAACGTTTTATTTCAAAGTAGGTCTCCTCTTCGATTTTAACTTGCAATATCGGTCAATTTAAGCAACTTCTGGCTCTGTTTTTGCTTCCTTCTTCTTTAAAAATGGAATAATAATTACTCAGAGACAATACAGTGTAAATAATTGTTGAGAAAAACAACAAAACTTGCCAATTTACGACGAAAATATACTTTAAAAACAAACTAAAACATTCAAAACGCTCTGATCAAGTGACTGATGATGTCATGTCTTTTTTTGGGTCATGAAAAAAGAATTATCAGGTAAAACATTACTTTCCTGCAAATTTCCACTGCATCAAATATGCTCCTTGTTTTAAACTCGATCATGAAATCTTGTTACAGCAACAAAAAAACCTAATTCGGCAATAGTCACGTGACTGATGACGCATAACCCTAGATGTGACAGGGAAAGATCTTTAATGGCAAATGTTATCTTGTTGTGGTCTGACAGTCTTCTACGTATAAAATTGTCTGAAAGTTATAAAGCTTTATTCAAAAATTGCCTCATAGGATTCTGGGAGATTCTTTATGATAATTATAATTTACTTTTATAATTAATATCATTATTGTTATTATTTCACCCTTAGATTCTCCCTACACCAAGCCCAGACCGTGAAAGCAATAAAGTACTGACCAAAGATGTCATTATATTGGCGACATTGGCGATCACTGCCTTCATTGCACTCCTTCTTGTGATTATGGGCACTTTCTGGGTTTATCGCTATCGCTATCGGTAAGTAGCTAAACCTTTACTGTATTAAATAATGAGGATACGCTTGATGTGTACTGTGTAATCATTTGACATCGACGTTAAAATAAACAAATAAATAAATAAATAGAATAAGAACGATGTCAATGCACTGACGGAATAATGTAAGTCGTACTCATCAACGGGTACTGACTAGATGTGCTAAAATAAAACGTACAAAATTATAATCGATGTCCAGTACTCGGTATAAGATTTGTTACTTTCGATACAGTAGAAGACGTAAGTTACCAAAACATTTTCAGTGGTACGTTTTTCCCTTGTCAGGCAATAACATATGGTCGTTACAGTGTAAAAAGACTAATTTGTTCTTTGACAGATCCTTAAACAAGAGAAAAAATGTAACTCATAAAGAAAACAATAAATGAAAAGTAAATTTAAAAAAAACGTTCTCTGGTTATCTTTCACCTTACAGAAAGCAAGAACGCCCCAATCACCTCTTTGAAGGTAACTTTCTATTTACTTCACGTTCATGTTAATACAAAGATAAACTACGGCAATCCCTCCTTGATTGGCGAACGTAATCGTATTTTATAAGGGCATAGCAGCGAGTAAATCGAGTAAAGCAGTAGCTCGAAAATAAAGCTACCACCGTGCAAGAAGAAAACTGTCAACAACTAAAAAGTTCGTTTCGAGCAGGCACGCATTTTTTTTTTTTTTACCTTAAAGTTTGGCACTTCTTTGAAGTGTAAACATTCTCCAGGTTCGCGGTCGAACTTGGTAAAACACCGATGTTTGTCTTTGACTATCATTAATATTTTAAAAGAAGAAGTCGCCATGGTGACTTAAATTTTTAGTTACAATCCAGTTGTAATCAGTTCAAAACAGAATGATAGCATATGATTGTCCTTACAATGCAAATCGAGGAGAGGGGCAATCTGAAAAAAACTTTAAAACATACTATCACATATGTTCATAATGAAGCTCTTCTTAATTCCACATTTATTTCTCCTGTAGGCACAATTTCCAGCCGACAAATTTCGCAGGTGCGCCTTTAAAGTAAATTAGCAATTATTTAACATCATCTGGACATTTATGATAAAGGATCTTTCGTGTTGCCGATCTGGTTTAATGTTGCTCATTACTCTGTGAAGTTGAAGAACTTATGGCACACTTTTTTATGGAAGACTCTGGGAATAATTCCACGTTCTCACGGTTCAACAGTTGTCTGCTGTTAGTGAGAAGAAAGTGAAATCACACGTTTTCCGATTGTCTATTTTCATTATCATAGTCACAAAAGGGGGATTGGCTAAGTCAGTCAAGGCTAGGGTATAAGCTGATTCTATTTGTTCTTCTTATTCATTTATTTATATATTTACTGTTTTTATTCTTTTATTTATTATTTTTATATCTTTTATTCCTTGTCTAACGTCCACAGTCTTCACCCGAGGAAACTGATGTTGGAGACATGATAATGGAGGAAGCTTCTTCCCCCGAGAGAAGTTCTGATTACGCTTACCCAAATCATGTACAGGTAAGAGATTGTTTAATTTTGATCTTCCTTGATTCATTTATCTCTTTGCTTAATCATTTATTTTCTCTACTATCCACAGTCCTTTTCTGAGGAAACTGAAACTGGATACATGATGATGGAAAGAGCTTCTTGCTCCGAGAGAACTTATGATTACGCTTACGCAAATCCTTTAATCGCTCGGAGCACAAGAACGGGGTGCGTTCCCGCTGATGCCTCTCTCGGATGCCTCGGTGATGATGCCTCTGCTAATCGACAATCACCACCATCTGTTGAAGTCGGGTCACCAGCCATTTATATAGACAAAAATTACGAAGACATGAACAGACGAACAGATCCTGAGGGGTATGTTGAAATGGGAAAGAGACGAGGCGTGGAGTTTGCAGATGGTGCAGGTGAATATTGTAGCAATGGCTTATCCAAAGAAGAAGAAGAAGGCCCTGGAAATCTGGTTCTTGTCGAAACTGGGAGATTCAGATCATCTGCAATTTCCCCTGATAAACATTACGAGAACAAAAGTGCAAAGAATAAGTCATCTGATGAAGGTGAAAATGGTAGAGCTCGTGGTTTGTCCAATGAAAACCTACCCCGTAGCAGCACAAGCCATTTTTCAGTGGAGAGAACCGATCCTGAGGAGTATGTCGAAATGAGTAAAGGAAGCGTACAGTCGTGATCAGTCTGGTCTTCTTGGTTTCCCCGCCATTGAAGAAGAGGGTCCTGAATATCTAATGCTGATCGGAAGTGAGAACTGACTGAAATGAGGTTTTCTATTGGGTAAGTCCAAGACAAAGCCAAACGAAAGCTGTATTAATATAAATTTCCAACTTGAGACCTTGTGATGAGAGAAATGGTGAGAAAATGGACGACAAGGAAGACGATGACGGTAATGAAGGATGATGGCGATGATAATAATTCTCGAGTGCCTGATAAGACTGACGATCATAGGCTGTATGACAGCCGATACATACTGTACCACAGTAACGTCGTAGATACTAGCCCACTCCAATCAAGTCTAACTAAGCCTCCATTCTTACAAAGTCCAACTATGTGTTCTTGTTGTGTTTGGGATAATGGCTAACATAATTCAGCCACGTATTGATTTTACTAAGGGTTAGTTATTAGCGCGATATGTTCGGCGGGAATACATAATTGTATGCTCTATTTGTTGACGCTTGGTAGTCCGAAAACAAGTAAAATAATTTTATCATACACTTTTATGTTATATCTTATTAATGCACCATTCTATTATTTTATTTTTTTTCAATAAATTAATGGAAGAGCAGGTCACTGAGGCGAAATGTTGAGGTGATTGCTGTGAATAATCACCTGCTGGTTCTAAAACGATGGGAAAGTGCATTAAATTGGATAATACCCTCGCTTCTTGGCCTCCCTTTTTCTGCGCGCTCGGTCATAGGTTACGGTAGGAATAACAGATATAGGTAGAGAGTTGTTTAGGTCAGACTTAAAAACTGGTGACAATTTAGCCAGTTTCCAGTCAGAGGGGAAAATACCACTAACGATTGATTAAAGATGCCAGTTAAAGAGGGCGACAATTTTCAGAAGCCTGTTTGGTATTTTGTCAAGACCAGTTGCCTAACCTACATCGATAGCTTTGAGTAATTTGATGACTTTTAGAACACTGATCCGCTGAAAGGAAAATACTCCATCAAAAGGACTAACATAGGCAAGTGGGTCAATCTCCAAACTAGGAATTTATTGTGCTAGAGATTGGCCAATGTTTTTAAAATGGTTGTTCAACTGAATGCTTAAGCGATATCCCCAGGTGAGGTGAAAACAAGGTTTCCTGTTTTGACTTAAGACACTTTGGTCGATTTACTTTGCCGGCTTGGAGTTCATTAATTAACCGCCAGGTTATAGGAGAATCACCTTTGTTTGTATCAAGATTTTCAGAAAAATATTTACGTTTAGCTTTCTTCAATGAGTTATTGGCCTTATTTCCGAACTATGTATGTGGAAAGTATGTGATGGTGGAAATAAATTCTGTGAGATCCATTATATCATCAACCTCTAGGTTTGTTCTTTTCTTTAGATCTTGATCTTTTTCTAGGCGCTCTCTTATGATTGTTAATGTCTCCTGGACAGGGGTCTCGGTGAATAGTGACACAACATCGTGGGAGTTGAAGATGTAAGACTAGAGAACATTTATAGGGATATTTCTTCAAGAGCATAATAAAACAAACATGTCACTACGACCATACTTACCATAGTCCATCAAACACCAAGCCAGAGCATCATGTTTTAGAAGAAGGTTTAAAGGAAACCACAGTAAATCCAAGCGATGCACTTCAAAGAGACGTGCCAGTTTACTGCACATTGGATCAACTGGATTCAAATGTTTTCACAACACCTGTTGACGTTTGACGGTTACTCTCCACCTCTGTTACAAAACAAACAGGGAAACGAAACTAATCAATGAATGACTGACTTTCCTTGGAAGCACTCTCAAGACTGCTCACCAATGGCCTCTATGTCAGAAACTTGCATCAACATAAAATAGAGCAGACCAATTTTGACGTTGTCTTAGCCAGTCCACAGACATTTATTCTTCCTTTTTTTACGAATGTTCGAGTGCGCCAGAGCGAGCGTGCAAGAGCGAGCGTGGAGCGCGACGATCTCTAAAGAGAAAATAGGGGGTCTGTGAGCAGGCTAAGTTGTTTTGCTATTGATATATTATATCTACACTATATTTACAAGAACTTGAAACTTCCTACTGCACTTTTAAAAAACACGAGAACTCTGAAGTCCAAAAGGCGCCTTCGCAGTTACGTTTTTCGCTACGGTCAATCACAATTACGATGACAAGCAACGAACCTTGAAACACAGAAACACACAAAATGGATCAAACTCCATCAATCACAAATCACAAACGATGACCTTTTGAACTCGTTAAAGAAATCTTCTATTTCCTAAGACGCCCCTAAGATGACTGACGGCAGCGAAAACGCAAACGTCAGTTGGCTTTTGAACTTCAGAATTCGCGTGTTTAAGAAAAGCGCAGTAATAATAAGGGTAAGCTGAAGGACTGAACTTGTAAAAATGGATCAAGTAACAAGAAAACGCCAGAGTCAGTGACAAACATTAAGGCTGAGGACAGACTTCGATCTTTGTACGGGAATATTGAAATTTATACGTATTAACAAGAGATTTTAAAGCAAAATTTAATATAAAAAATATTCACTTATCATCACAAAAATAAACAAAAGCAAATGAAATAAATAAATGCGACTACGAACTCGCGAACCAGAGAATCAAAGGTGAGGACAGCCTAAGCCGGGGATTGAGGTCGTGTAGTATGAGAGCGACGAAATAGATTAAAAATGATCATGGATCCAGAGTGTAAAGACCATATTATGTAGCTACACTGTATAAAGTACTAGTAGTATTTTAAAGTTCGACTTTGATCGCGAGTATGGAATGCACAGTGAACGTAAATATTAACTGATACTATCAAGGGTGACAAATTACTCCTTAATTTTGGCGCGAAATTTCAGCGTTAATATTAATTAATAAGGAATCAAATGGTATACTCGTGAAATAAGGAAATAATTTCACTTGCGTTTAGCCCAAAATGCTAATAATTTCCCGAGCCTTTATCCCTAATTTCACTCGTCACAATTTGATTACACATACTAATTTTCAGAATTTTTCGACAAAATACCTGGTAGAATCCTTCTTGATGCGCTCTTTCGTTTGTTTAGGATTTCTAAAGCTTCCTTTTACGCCCTGACATCTTCATTCACAACACTTTAAAACTTTGCCGCCATCTTGGCACTGAAACGTACGGAACGTTGCCATGGCAATTTTATAATTTCACATGTGAAATTATAAAATAATTAACGCTGACATTTCGCCCCACAATTAAGGAGTAATTTGCCACCTATGATGTTACGAAGTTAAGCGAACATTTAAGCACGAAAGTTTCAGTGCGTGGAGTGGAGTTCTGTATCGATAATCAGTTCGATGAACATGTGAAAGACCTACAATTGTGAGCGTAATTTGCCACCCATGATATCAATAGGTAATTACACGGTATACTTGTGAAATTAGGCAATAATTTTACTTCAGTTTTGTCCAAATCCAAATAATTTCTCTCGGCTGAAGGCTCGGGAAATTATTAGGACTTGGGCAAAAGGGGGGTGCAATTATTCCCTAATTTCACTCGTCACCACTTGATTACACATACATACTTAGGGCATTTCCGAGTTGCCCGAAACCTCCGTTTCAAAGCGAGGCTAGCTAAATGCTAAGCCATTGTTATAGAGAGTTTTCACATGATGTCACGGCGGCCATATTGGTGTCCCAAAAAATTGAAACGGTGGCCATGTTGGCGTCCCAAACCAGTCCTCTGGGAGTTGAACTCTTTTCTTATGCAAACGCTTTCTTTTGTTCCGATAAATTTGCATCTATGCTGGCCACATGATTAACCCTTTAAACCCTAAGATCAAAATTTGAATTCTCAGTTGTCGTCCCTATTCACTTCCTACAGAAGCAGTGGTGAGAAGTTGATAATATATCTAGCAAATTCATCATGTGTGATCAGGTCTGTAATTCTCATGACCACTCTGTTTTTACAAAGCATTGATATTACAAGGAGAAATTTGATGCTGATCACTCTTAGGGCTTAAAGGGTTAAAAACACTCTATAAAAATTATTCTTACTTCTTACTTCACCACAAAGGTTTCGCACCTAGGGCCTCGTTTTGAAGGCGAGAGTTTTCTGTACTCTTTCGTTCGCGCACCAACGCTCACCACGAATCATAATTATAGTCACGTCGTGAAACCCCAATTTCACAGGCAGATTAACAATATTTTGATATTCTACATATTTATCATAAAAACGAAAAATTAAAACACATTTCTACCTTTTTACCCGGGTTAAGGTTTTTTTTTTTTCCAGTTTTCACATTCTCCTTTTAAAAGTTCATAGTTCGTTAAGTACATGGTTAAGAAGTAAAATAAAAGGTGCAAATTGTTTGCTTGTTTAGTGAAAGAAATAATTAAATTGCCAATAAATGTTAATTGCCCGGACGGATCCAGAATTTTTTTCGGTGAGACACGGGTTCATTTCTAGAGTTTTATCGGTCACCGTTTTTTTTTTTCTTTTTTAAACAACGAACAATTTAAACGAGATTCCGTCTAATAATTAAATCAAAATACCGTAAATTTTAGTCTCACACAAATAAAGACGTGCAATAAGAAACAATAACTCCAAATCTTCGGTTGACTTAACATGATTTCAAAGTTGATAAGCTGCCTCGTCATGAAATAACTTTCACTTAATTGTTCTTTTGGAGTTCATGGCTCATATCATTGACTTCCCACCATTCCCACTTCACTCGTTTTTCTTGACGTTCCCTCTCTTTTAGTTTAACTTTGCAATTATCAACAGCTGCCTTGTACTATATATAGTAGGTTCAAGAGAGACTGGCGCTTTAAACCTGTTTACGACAGCAAATCAATGCTATGTAAAGTTGCGTGCTTGCGTGTCTTATCTCGGGTCTGTATTGGGTATCAAGCCGAAAAAGCAGCAATTGAACAGGCTGAAAAAGTCGCTTGCGCTGTATCGACATTGTAGTCCGACAAGTGCGTGGACAGGGCGTTTTTTGACGTTTTGCAGTATGTTCCGGTCGGCTTATTTATCGGCTCGGTTGATGAAATTCTAGGTTGCTTAATATGCTGATTTTACTATTGGTTATTAGTTTTAAATTTGTTAATAACCAATATCGTTGGACACCAGAGAGCGGACAATTGCTTTCTCGGGAAGGTTATTCTCCGCACGAGGAACTTTCTTCAATAACAAAAATAGAAATGAATTTTCAATCTCAATTACCACTTTTAATGAGATGGCATGAACATGGTGGGAAATAAAGCTAACGTGATTTTTCAATTAACATTTCCACGTAGTAGTAAAGCATAACGGCCCAATTCAAATTACCGGATTTTTAAAAGAGCTACATCAGCTTTTTATATAAAAGCAGTATATTTCGGGACGTGATGCTCTAAGGAAACAAGAAATTGTTCTTTTAATGAATGAATGATTTTAGGTTCACACGGTGTCTTCTTAACGAGATATTAACTTCATGAATAACCGGTAATGGGCCGACAAAAGCTTAATTATTTCTTTTTATATTTCTATTCGCACTTATAACCAAGAGATTTTCCAGTGTTTTTCATGTCAATGTTTCTAATGTTAGCCAAGTTGGTGAAATTTATGTTAACAAATCATCTCTTCTTCCTGTGGTTTATTCGGATTGCTGATAAAATACATACAGATATATGCCCTAGTACGTGTATTGCCTCTTCAGGACATTGGGTTTATGTATTAACCAATGGAATTCACTCGTGGATCCTTATGGTTCAATATAGAGGGCAATATAGCATTGAGTGGCTCTAAAACTCGGAATTCGTGACCTCATAGTCGTCATGAATTCACTGTATTGGCGAAGAGACTTTGTTGGTTTCAGCAAGTGAAAACCTTTTGATTGAAAACAATTTTAACTCGAAGAAAACAAGTGGTTTAAAGCCAAACATTTAGGCTTACATTCAAGTAAACAATCGCCAACGTTGTTAATTGAATTGATGAAATTATCCAATTTGCTGGTTTCCTCGGTTAATTGCCAGAACTCCAGGGACATAAGATGACCGATTTGTATGTATTTCTGTTGTACCTTTCCTGCATTGGATCGACTGTTCATGGACAACCTAATCAGTTCCTACGTATATATCGAGAAAAAATTCATCCAGAAGACGACATTCAGCTGCCTTCTGTACAAAGCGAGTGTCCCACTGAAACGAATCCCCTTTGCGATAAATATAATGCTCGAAAGTTCGATCTCACTGTTAACTGCTTGTGTCAATGCAATCAACCTCCAGGGAAGTACACTTTCTTCGAACCTAACAACTCTTGCATAAGAGTAAGCGAGGCTCGTCAGCAAGCAGGTAAGAATTGTTTTTGTTTTTGTTTGCCGTACTTATGACCAGGTAGAAGTCTGAAAATCGACGTCAGCGATTAAGTCTGTTTTATTTAACAGGAAAAAAGGTTAGGAAACTTTTGTCTCCGTCTATTTTCAAAAAATAATTCTCCTATACCGAAAGCTTTGAATTAAAGCTTTAATTTAGGTGTTTTTCCTTCCATTCAAAGACTGCTTCCAAGAGACCGACAATTTTTCTTCTGAGGTAGGATAGGGTGGTTTCGTTGTGGTTTATGGTAAATTGATGGTATGTATATGCAAGATTTTGTTTTCCGTTACGTGTCACCTAACAGGTTATTAAGTTTCTTTCAACACCGCGTTCACATATTAACCGGTCGCTAACTAAAACAAATGTTCCAACGAATTCCGCTCTTTGCCGTTCGTAGCATCGATTAACACATAATAACTTCAATAAAGTGATACACGTGAAAAGTACATTAACTGTTGATCAACAAACTTTTTAGCTCTCGTTGTTCAACAAGTTGAAACTTGTTGAGCGTTGAGCCGAGTAGAGCCCATTTCGGCTATTTTCGTTCAATCGGTTCAACATTTCGTTCAGCTTGTTTGATCGATTACTTATGTCAACAATTAACCCCCCCGAGCTTTAGCTCTAAAACAAAGAAAATAAAGGGAACACACGAGGCAAGCAAGGAATTTTTTAAACTCGGTAAGGTTCGAACCAACAATCTTCGGATTGGATCTACCCTCGCTCTACCGACAAATTACAAGGCCTTTCTGTAGCAAGTTAGGGGTAATCAGTTTTGGTTAATTAGCATGCTCAATGCAGACATCGGCATGGAAAACGCACTGATATTCAACCGACAAATATTAATTTAGAAGAGCGGGATAAATTTATGAAGGATAATTAACTGACTTCGCTACCTGATTTGTTCAAAACTATGGTCCATATCTTTCTGTGTAAAAAAGAACATAAACTTGACAGATATTGAGTATAATCAATATTGGATATAACAGAATTTGTTTTCCTCTCTCTTTCGCACATCTTTTTTCTCAAAACTTGGCCGCATTCGCTTGCGGCTCGTGGTTCCAATTGACTTTTGAACTACTTCTACGTCATTTATAATAATGCCAAAAACGTAGCTAAGAGGGTTAACCTCTTTTCAGCCCGCATAAATGATAAATGGGATGCAAAATGAGCCACGCGTAAAGGCTTATGAAAATTTAGACATTTCTTTGACACTTGAAAATCAAGAGAATTTCTGGCAAACCCGTTTACTGTGACTAGCCTGTGTACAGCCTCCCTGACCGATTAGGATTATTTTCTAAAAGATTATTATTCGGTGTTTTATAGGTAAACACAGATCCTAGCAATGCTTGATTTGTACCAGTTCTAAAATAATATCTATTACGAAAGGAAGCTGTCTTAATAGAGTACATATAAAATGACGCTATTCATTTTAGTCTATTCGCCTTAAAAAGACATTGATGAAGGAGAGTACCTTAAAAAGATTTTAAAAAATGTACTGATTACTATGAATTTTTTCATATTTCTTCCCCCTTTCTTGAACCACAGGATGCGACTTGCTTTTTACCGACGAGACAGTAACTGGCCACATAACGTTCTTTTCCCCAAATGGTCCAAATGAACCTTCAAAATCCATCGGTCTTCCGACCAACAAGACTTGCAGCTTTAACTTTTTGGGAAAACTTTATGTTCAATACTTGGACTGCGCTGGGGACTGGAAAGAGGTACCATCAGACGAAGTGAAAGCTGACTGGGAGCTTACAACTGGCTGGGCAACAAATCAGTTGCAAATATTGGTAAGCACAGAAAACGAACAGCGGCTGAACTACCACTCTATAGTGGCGGCCGCAAATTATATGAACCTCGTCTCTCGACAGTTTTAATGTTGCTGTGGGTCCTCTTATTGCACTCAAATAGGGGAACTTCAGAGAACAAAACAATCCACACCCCTCTCCCCTCCTCTCCATTCAAAGTCGTTTTCTACATGTAGCTCGAACAGTGGGATAACAAAATGGAGGGAATGGGGGAGGTCAAGATTTAATTTCCGCTTTCGAAGACGGTAAAAGATCAGAAAGTCCCTTTAATTAGGGTAAAGTGTCTTAACTTATTTTGTTGCCAATTATTGGTACTGTGATATTGATATGACCAAGTGCAACATCGTTAATTTAAGAATGAGTTTCATTTACACGACAGCATGAAAATTATGATACCCGTCCAGAATCTTCGCACTTGAAAATAGAACTCGGAAATGGCCAATGTATATTTAACTATGCTGAGCGATCGCAACCGCTTTAACACAAATTCGTTTGCTATACCAAAGTACTCTGGCTCGCTTAAATGGCATTTCATTTTTACGCTAGACTCGTTTAACGTCTGACACTTTAAAGTCCTCTGTTAAGTGCCACAGAACGGGCTTACTTTGAACCTATTAATCGTTATTACACTAGACATTTAAGTTGTCTTAAAAGGACTTCAATGTCTCAGACCACTTTTAGGCCTGTAGCACAAAAACGGCCCTAAAAAATCTCTAACTGTTTCGATTTGTCCAATACACATATCACGGACTGAAAGATGGGTATGGAAATTTCCATCGTGACAAAAATCCCGTGAAATAATCCTGTGCTGTATTTTCTCAAACAGGTCAAAAGAAATATTTCAAATTTTATGAACTCAACCAGGGGAAGGATCTTCAGAGTAGCAGTTCAGTGTCGTGATCTGAACAGCAGCAACCAAGACGTAGGAAACAGCACATGCGCTATGTTCAAAGTGGAAGGAGGACCTTATTTCTGTAAGAAAATTCACATTTGCGCAATGTAGTTCAGACTACTATCAACGACTCACTTTAGAGAGCTGGTTTCAATTACAAACTTAGAACAAACGGTACTGAATCGTAGTCAACAGTGCAAATGACTTATTGACGGAATCAAGCAAAACTAACTACGAGAGAACGACTGGACAACTGACAACTTGACTAACAATAAATGACTGTTTAACTGTGACAATTCTAATTATATACGGACCGAAACGCAAAAATGACATTACGAGTCTTTATGGCTAATGACATGACGACCTAACTGACAGGTCACGACCTTCTGTTAGTGACATGTCCAAAACATCCCGTATGTCCCTTTCCCAGTGCCTTCTCGGTCTTCCTCTTTCTCATCTCCCATCTATCTTTCTCTCCAAGATGATCTTTCTCAAGCCCTCACTTCTTTTCAAAATTATGGCCAAAATACTTCAGCTCTTGTTTTTTCATAAAGATCTCTAACGATTGACCTTGTTTTGTGCTACGATCACGATATTTTTAAATTTTCCCAAAGTACCTCATTTCAAAAGCGTTAATTAAGGCTGTTTTTCCAAGTGTCCACGTGCTCACAGGCATATGTAGCCATGAGGAAAACGCACGTTATCAAAATTCTTAGTTTTGTTTCTACAGAAATTTACAATTTACTACTGGCTGTAAGCTGAGAAAGTTAATGTCAGTGACTGGAACATTTTATAACTTTCATTGTGATATAGCTGGAAATGTTTTCTTAACAGCGTGCATTCTCATTGGTTACTTCGAGGTTACATAACATCTAACAATGAAACTCTTTCCCGTTCACACCAGAATTTCTGACCGCGCAACATTGCAAAATCTAGGACGTCAGAGGGTAACAGGACACCGTTACTCGCAAATGTTGACCAACGACCACCATTGCAGGGCGGTTTAATGAATTTCCAGCTTCAAAATTTCCAGTTATAGAACAAATCACTTAAAGACTGGTCCCTCGGGAAATATTGAGATTCTCGGGAAATAAAATTAACTGTTTCCCTTGCGACCAGTGATTAACTGTTTAATCCTTTTTAGGTCCATTTCCTCAACCAGCTTCATCAGGACAGTCAGCTACATTACCGCCACCAACAGAGGAAATAATAAATGCCACAGGAGGGACACTACGTCCCCCACCCACCCCTACAGAACAACTATCGTCACAAAGCACTGGAAGCGTCACAAGCGAAGTAAGTATCTGAAGTCCACGAAAGTGAACATTCTTCTTCCTTTTCTGACTAATATCAGTGTGGCTATTGAACTCACTGCATTTAACCAAAAAAAAAAAGTGTGTAGAGTGGTAACTGTTCCTTGGCTATGCTAAACTAATATATTGACTCTGATAAAATGTGGCAATTTTTTTTTTCAACTATATTTTAATAACCAGGGGTAGAAAAATGGATTGTTCACTTACAACAATTTTGAATGAATGTTCGAGTATGTCATTAAAGCGTGTGAAATGGTCTCATAAACACTCCTTGTGTTGAAATCTCAATAGCCATTGATAGGTACACAATTGACGAATGAAATTATTGTTTTTAGTTACATCTCAGACAGTTTCCAGCCGGAGTTTTTGGTGGATTTAAATGATTCAAAGTCATCAATGATTCAAGTCAGAGAGAGCATTTTGTCCCCTTCTCCCCTCCCCTTCTTCTTTGGGGAGTTTTTTTCCTTTTTTTCTTTTTCATTTGTTGATGACTATTTTCACTTGTTTATAGGAAACACCATCTCCTCAAACAACAACTCAGGTGAATCACTTGAATAATTTTCAGGCACTGAGCTGGAAATACATTCACTACATTTCATCTTCCATTCTGTAATGTTAATAATTTAAAGTTTACAGGAGGTCTCCTTTGAATAACAGAGTGAAATGAAAATCAGCATTGCATAATTTATATTTTTTTTAATTAACGAAAGGAATTTTTATTAGACTTGAAGGTAACATGGTATATCTTTTCGTTGTGACAAGCCTAGTATATTCTTTATGGCGGTATAACAACAACTGTAATTCATGAAAACGAGGCCAATACGTGACCGTTTACAACGTATCAATATTGACAAATATTGTCACACAAGCAGGGCTGCAAATAACGGACAACAGGTTGCCGGTCATGATGACCGGCCAAATATTTTTTAGCCCGGACAAACCCCGATTCTGGCCGGTCAAATAATGAATACTAATAATTTTTTTTTGCCTAAGGAATATCCAATTATGCTGGCAATAGATCGTTATTACTACATTGACGTTCACATTTTTGACAGCAAATTAGTGAAAAATGCATTCGCACGTTGTAGAGTTTCCTCGTTCTACCTTGAGTATCATTGCATGGCGGTGTCTGAAGTCTAGAGGTAAAAAGTGAAGCGTAAATCCTTTTCAAACTCCCAAAGTTCAGGAAACGGAAAACACATACAGTTCAGCAAACTTTAGAAATTACAAAAAAAAAAAAAAAAAAAAATTGGGTTATTTTACAAAATCTGCACACGCTTGTTTTACGGTGATGTTCCGAAATGAACATCGGTGAAACTTGATCTTTTTCCTTGCCTGGCACGTGATCGAAAGTCACTTCTTCAAAGAAGAATCGTCGCTGATATTTTCGACAAAGAAGTTGATTTGCATTGGCGAGAAGTTTGTTCCACAAACGGCGTGTTGATGATCAGAAGTCAATTAATAAATTTGGGTCATCGCGCAACATTTTATCGCGAAGGGCTCAAATGTCAACAGAAATTTGCATAAAGTTGTTTACAAGAACGAGAATCTAGCGCCGCGATAGACGACGACCTTCCCTCTTGAGTAGTTTAAATTTTTATCAGACCATTCTGGAATCGAGTCTGCAAACGAGATTCATGTTCGACATAAAAGAAATTATTATTAATCGATGCGCTAACATTTATTCCCGGAGAAACACAGGACGACCTGTTGAGAATTGCGATCGATTTGCCTGAATTCCTTCGAATTCCCAAAGAAGGTCACATTGCTGATTACAGCAAAGACTTGCAACGTTGGGTTACTTTCCAACTCAGTTTGTTATTCACTTTGCTGCGTTAGATTACGACATGACGACATGAAATTAATTTATTGCGGCGTTCTTTTTCTTAGAAGGGTTTAGTGCAAAGCAGCGAAAAACGCCAAAGAAAAAAGAAATCATTGCAGCGTTATAGAGCATTAAGCGACAACTGTATGGAAAATAAAGTGTTTGTATCCAAAAATGACCGGTCAAAATGACCGGCAAGACCGGAGTTTGACCGGTCAAGTCCGCGATCAGGCCGGACATTGTCCGTTGACCGGCCGTTATTTGCAGCCCTGCACAAGTGGTGGGAGGAGGGGGCAGGAGAGTAGCTTTCAAACTGTGAAGCCAATACAGCCTAGATCTGGGAATCACTAATCTCCTTTTGCCGTCAACACCCATGTTTATAGTTTATACAGTTTTGCTTATCCGATTGGTTAAATAGTTATTGTGTTTTATCATTTTGTAGACGACGCCAAGCACCACAACAAAGGTAGGTCCTATAGTAATGCATTTGGAGCATAAAAGTATAAAAGAGTATAAAAGAGTATAAAAGCAGCTTATTTAGGGGAATTGAAGCAGCTAAGACAGGAAAAAAAGGCCAGTGATTCAACAGTTGTTCATAGTAGCATCCCATCCCACAACAAGATTTGCCAATCCAAAACCTTCCGAATTTAATCATTATGAATTATCTATCATAAAATTTATAAATGCAGAGACTAACAATCACTTATACATGCTGATTTTGCCATGGCTTGCTAATTCATTCAATAACTTTGATTTAAAATTGCCGCATAGAAAATTGCAAACAAATGTAAGAAAATTTCCCTTACCGCGTAAAAAATTGTCCTCTTGCCTCTCAACCGTAACTTTGTTCCATGTTTATGTCATTGTGTCTCTCTTTGAACAGTCTATTTTCCAAATATACTGTGGACAGCGCCTTCCCAAATTAAAGCCATTGGAAATTTGTTCTTTTCATTCTCACTACGGCACAAACAGCCAAAAAGAAGTCCAAATTGCTAGTGTTTCATTTGAAGTCCAAAATTTCGAAAATTATGGCCAGATGCTGTGGGTCGTTTGACGCCAATTTAACGGGGTTAACAAGCCATTCTTCGCGCTTCCCTGCACAAACACAATACGAGGAAAGAAGAATCGCCGGTTTAAATATCCTTGGCCAATAAAAGCTAGAAATACGGACGAAAAGAGGTTTATAGCTTTCCTCATCGAGGATCGAAATCGAACGCATGAACTGCCATGTTGGAAGTGTTCAACTTCTATTTAGCTTATACAAAGGGTTGAATTTCATTTAAAATCCGCTGTACGGCTCACTGGTGAGTTCTTTTGCGTGACAACGAGGATTTATTTGGGATTTTGTTGAAAGTTGCTATTTTTTTTAATTTAAGTGTGTGTTGGATACAATTATTAGCACTTTTGAAGGAATAAATTATGTTTTTAATTAACTATAAATTATATTAAAGTTAGGAAGAGAAAGGTCGCGTTAGTCCGTGACTGTATGAAATTGGCGGGGAGTTTGAAAACGCAGGCTGATCTGTGGCTAATCTAATGCACGATATTAACAACAACAATTCGCCAACAAATCTGCTCAATTTATTTGAAAAAACCTCAACAATTCATTCATACTATACAAGATCATCTAGTTCAGGTAACTTTCACGTCAAAAGCTCAAAGCTGGAAATACACAAAAACTCCTTGCCTCGCTTTGGTGTAAAACTTTGGAATGAGATACCTTGTCATATTAGAGATCTTCCTAAAAAGAAATTTAGGAAAGTACTTGACAGATTGCTTTCGGATATCTTAAAAATAGAAGATGACTATATTGAGACGCCCTTAATAGTTGAAAAAGTTCGATTAATAGTTTAGTGATTTCTATATTAAAGTATTTGTTTGTTTGCTTGTTCAGATTTAATGTAATTAAAATAAAACTGTGATAGAATATTATTTATTGTAACTTAAAATTGTAGTTTTCCTTCCTTTTCCTTTCCTTTCTTTTCCTTTCAATTTATTTTTCTTTTAACTGGTTAGCAATTGCTATTTTGCGGGCCAGTCTATTGTAACCAATAGTCTTATGAAATAAAGTTGAAGTTGAAGTTGAAGTTGACAGGCGAAACTCTATTGTTGCAAACGATGTAAAGAATTTTACTGTTTATCACTGGAAATTTTCTTAACAGGGCACAACTCAAGGGAGCCCTAACTTGAATGCCCAGACTGGAACCAAGAGAAACACCTTCATAATAACAGGAGCTGTAGCTGGCGGTATTCTGTTCATCGCTTTGATTTTTCTTATCTTATGGCGCTGTAACAACCCCAAGTAAGATTCAGTTTTAACAAATACATACAACTTATAAGGCGAGAGTGAGGTCAATACAGGGAAATCTCAAACAGAGGCCTGAGATTTCCCTGTAATGACCGAACGAACGGAAGGAGGTTAATAAGGGTTATTATTAAAAAACTGCCAAGTGTCACGCCTAAGGCCTCATTGTTACGCCTGCGGATCGAAAACTTGGATCTCACGCCTACTCACGCCTGTGTTCCGATTTGTCACGCCTGGCAGAAACGTTTGAGCCATTACAGCATTAACTGACACATTTTGAAAAATATATTAACTATTTAAACAAACCAGAACCAGAGAGAGACAAGAAAAGTCTATGTGGATGACCGACTTTCTCCGAATTCTCTTTTTTCAGTAGGGAAGTCAATGTTCCTTTGTGTTCCTGTGTTCGTGTTAGACGGAACTCTTCGTAACATCTTCGGAATGTCTTCGGATATCTTCGGATATGATCGGACCCCTACGAAAAATCTTGGCACTCTTAAGATAAAAAATGTCACGCCTATAAATGTAAAAAGGTTGGCAGGTACACAACAAGATGGCCTTGTAATTATAGAACTGAGCCTGAATTAAATTAAAATCAACAATTGGTCAGCGGATAACTAAAAAAAAAACGTCATACAGTCAGGTGATACTGGCCAGCGGATACGTATACCCTTTTTTACAGCTGTCAATTGACCATAACACTGATGCCCATGAGAATGTCCACTATCAAGTTAAACACAGATTGTAAATGCCTAAGACACCTTGCTAGTAATGCCGGGCCATTACATGAAAACTGCCAATCCAAGCGCGCCTAGTATTGTAGCCACATGATAAATGTAATTATTTACCATCATTATCAAAGAAAGGCTAACTTGAATCCCATGCAAGGCAATCCAAACAAGTCGTGGATCCTAAATTCTAAGCAGTGCATTCCGGATTCCAGGTACTGGATACCACTGAGATTCCTTGTCAGTGGAATTCAATCGTCAGCTGGATTCCGGATTCCTTGAGTTAACTTCTAGATTCCAAAGCCCAGGATTTCGCATTCCGTGAACCAATTTCGCCGATCCCAGTAGTTCCAAAAGCAAAAAATTCCCGGATTGAAATCGGATTGCCTCACAAAGGCAGTGGGTATGGTACAATAAAACCTAAGAAATCGTATTCGATCTCTTGCATTGGATATAGGTTTTACTAGCTGATTTCAATGACTTGGATGACACGTTTTCTTTCAGAATGTATTGTGCGTTTTTGACAATAAAGTATCGTTGTATATAATGTATCAATCGTATGGTTCTTTCCGACCTAACTGTTAATATTGTGGAATGTTGAGCTATGAATGTTCTCCTTCTTTTATTTTACAGAAAGCGGGATCCTCCCCATCATCGTTTTGAAGGTAAACACTTACATGTAAATTTTTTGAAATTTGTATTTTCACTCAATAATACCCAGTAAGCGCTATCTGGAAGTCTAACGAATTACACTTTAAAGTAATCCGGAATTTTCCCGAATAACTGACCGCATTTTGGAAAGAATCTCAGCTCTGGAGGTATATAAGCATGTATGGACAACAACGTTTATATTTTTCCACTAGATGAGACAAGTAAATGCTTGAAGGCCCTGTCCACACGTATCCGGATATTTTTGAGTCCGCACCTTTTTCCAACTGGATACGGCTTCCTTCCACACGTATCGGTGAATCCGGCATACGAATTAATCCGCAAATTTTTGAATCCGCTCTTCAGAGTGGAAAGGGAGAATCCGGTTTTTTAATCCGGAAGGAAAAAGTTGCTGATTCAAACATATCCGGATACGTGTTGACGGAGCCTAAGATGCGCGAAATTACTATCGTGTAATGTTCGAAGTTGTACTTGTTTAAATTTAATTATCCGATTCATTTTAAAGGCCAGGCGCAAGGTATTAATTCAGTTATAGGGTAAATATGGGGTTGAATTCTTGAATGAGTGGCACAATATGTTGCAAAACTAAATGCTAAGATGACATGATTTTCGAGTATTAAATAAATTGCTTATCTCAATTATCATACCAAAGCTAAAGACAACAAAAAGGTGGAAAAACGAAATGAGAAAATGTCAGCGCCTCCAGGTATAAGACGAGCATTTGCCGATAGATATTTAGACTATAAATTATAAGATATACCATGTATAGTTCACTGATTAAGACTACCTAAAGGTACCAAGGATAAAAATAAGTGTCAAACAACTCTTACCAATTTGTCATGCCGCAAAAAATTTGAATTCCATATACAGTCTCGTTTCGGGTAGAATTAGGTGGCATTTTCCTCCAGCTACTCCTTTCCTCTTCTATGGTATTTACTTGTGAATAATTCGTTAAGGAAAGCCGCATTCTGAGAGTAAACTTTCTAAGACAATGGAACTCAGTGTACGACTCTTCAGTTCAAATTTATTTGCATAAAGTACACGTTGTTTGTTTCGTCAACCTTTGTTTTTGAATCGACCACGCACGCCCCTGCGCTTTTAGAGGGCAATATATCAACCAATAATAGCAGTAATGCAAATTCCCCGAGGGGAGTTCTGAGGCCGCTCAAACACTGACATAAATCTTTATTGGCAACAAAAGTACATCAATCCTCTGCCCCACCCCGCACCCATCTCCTTTCTCATGAATCCCACTTGTGCATGTTTAGCAAATAAATTAGAAATTGAAGCACCATTTAACTCAACATTATTTGTTCAGTAGGGTCAATTTCCAGTCCAGTTAGCCCGGTGAGTCTAGTAGTTCTTTTTTACTTTCCTCTTAAATATTCTGGCATAGAATGTATAATGTTGTAGAATTTCTTCTAGTTTTAAAAATGTATTTTAGTTACTAAATGCAAGCCTCCTAGTTATTTGTTCATCACCCTGACAAGTTGAAGCAAATGAGAAGAAAAGCGAAAAAAAAAGAAAAGAAAAAAAGAAGAAAAAAGTGTTAGGACCCTTCCTTAGAAGTAGTAAAGTTGTTGGAATTGAGTTCTCTTTCGGGGCTGCAACATAGAGAAGGGGGTGGGGAAGGGGGGTAGTAGTATAGAGAGAGGAATCCAAAGCCGATGAACGGTTACAAAATTAGTTGGAAGGCCTTTTTGTTAGTTCGTCATTGTGCATCACACTAGTCTGATAGAGCAATTGCTGTTCACTTTAGATGAATCGTCATTCGATTCCTGTTTACACGGACGCTGCTCATCTTACACCATATGGAGATTTCAGCATGCGAACAAATAGCATAGGTATTCTTTCTATTTGCCATATATATATTTTTAATGATCCAACTTACATGCATGATAAGTTCCTGTGATGAAATAACGTGACATAGATAAAAAAATAAAAAATAAATGTGACATGATGTAACTGAGGAAGCATGAAAGGTGCTTAACTCGTTTTAATAATATTACCCTTATTAAAATGATGTTAACATACACGTGAGCAAAGAGTTTTACGGAGTGAATGATATATACTAACTTCACACCAACCTTTTATTTTGGTAGTGTGATCTTCTTTATCGGTCACGCGTTTGGACATCACTTAACAACAACGACAACATTACAACAACAACGATATTGAACAAAAATAAATTGTAAATAACTTAATGTTAACTAAAAGAAAACAGAACATAATGCCTATTTGTTACATAATGTTTAAAAAGCTTGTTTTTCCGTTTTAATAGATTTTCGAATACCCAGTGAAATCCAAGGTTTGGACTTAAATTAGATTTCTTCTTATTTACCTTTTCCAAAGGAGAATTAATGTTTATCTTCGTTAAGAGAGTAAATTAAAAACGATCATATGTTTGATCAATGCCTTTTCTTTAAAGCATTAAGTTTGCCGGGAAATATGTCTGATAGATATTTGAACTAATGTAAGCCTCTTGATGAGCTGTGCCCGGGGGGGGGGGCACTTTAGGAATTTCTGGGTGGGGATGTGCCGCTGGGACCCTGGAACCCTTGACCTATACCAGAGCTAGTTCAGCTGAAGTTTGCTACCCTATACTAGAGTAAACTCCCAAAATCCCCCTATCCTAGAGTAGCTGTTTCCACAGTCTAGATAAAATCTTCGACCAACTGATCAGTTTCCTGAAAAATGATACCCTATTCTAGACCCAAACTCTCTGATTTATATACCCTATCCTAGAGTAAACTGCTTGAAAACCATACCCTTCACAGCGGCACAGTACCCCCCCCCCCGGGAGCTGTGCTTCATGCTGTGCTTTTGCTCAAAATGCTCGTAAACTGCTACTTTATCTTTCAAATTAAGTTCGCGAACATTAGAACAAGCGTTATTTTAAGAAAAAAAAAACAATTGATTACTACGAATTATTCACAAACCGAAACGTGTTTTTTTCCTAATGTTTATTTTGAAATACTCGATCAAGCAATTACTATCGTTTCTCGTACGAACATAAGGTCTTTAGCATCACATTATGGTTGATGTTGTCAAATTTAAGTGCTAACAGCAGAAAACTACAAGGGCAAATTCTGATCTTATATCTTATATTATTAACTTTTCTTTCCGGAATTGTCGAATTAAAATTGTAACCACATTAATAATCGTTTGGTCGATATTTTAAATTCTCTTTGCCAGTACCACTTTCAACGATACTGAAGCCGTTTGTCAGCGCTTTGCTTAGCTTTGCTTATCTGGCAGTTCAAATCGTTACAATTCGTACGCAAGTGCTCCGTTTTATTAATCTATTTTTTTTTAGAAAACCCAGCCTACAGGAGGGCCTCAGATGGAGTGGTACTTGGTCCCCAATACAGGCATGGCTCTTTGTACTCTGATAGCTTTCCATATGGGGCCCCACCCAGGCCGCCACAAGGAAAAGGAGGTAGCATGAACGGACAAGTCAACCCAGCCCTTTCGATGGATGACGACGTCATCACTATGAACCCGCTATATGAAGGACAAGTTGTAGACCACAGGGATCTTGACGAGCTTAACTGCAGTGATTTTGCTGTTTACCCCGAGCAAATTGTTCTTGAGGACCGCAAAAATCCATATGGAGAAGGTAATTTTCAAAGTTTTAGAATAATATTGATCCTTAATATCAAATTGTTTATTCTAATGTTTATTCTAATGCTAATTGCGCAAGTAAACGGCACGTGAAAATGTTTACTCGAAATATATATCAGGATTGTCTAATTTTAAGACAATGAATAAATATTTTTAACAGCACGAAATGAAAATTGGTTGGAAAAAAAAACGTTTTTAGCTGCTCTAATCCTCCATGAAACTAAAACCTCCGGTGAATAGGTAGCCTGCGTAGCAGGCGCTTGGAAGTAGCGGGCGAGAGAGAGAACGGGCGCGCGCGAGGGAGACACGCATGTCTCCTTCTCGCGCGCCCGTTTTTTCTTGTGCCCACTACTTCCAAGCGCCTGCTACGCAGGCTAGTGAATAGGTAATTCTTTACTTTTCAATTTTGGTGACGTCAAGAATACCTTTCAATTTTAAAAAATAAAAATACATTGTTTATTTGCTTTGATAATATTAATTATGTAGTAGGGAAAAAATTAAAGTGCAAAGATTTGAAAATTGAAGTGGTTTGAACGTGGGATAAGACTGTAATGATCGTATCTCTGTGGTAAGGGGTGATGAATTACACATGTGGTTTCAATTACGTGAATATAGTGTCTGCTTTTACCTGAATATAATTTGAATAGGAATGAAGCCGATAAAACCTTATGGAACAATAATGATAATGGTAATGCAATGCTCATGTTAATGCTAAAGCTAATGATGATGAGTTTTTTATTAAAAAAAAATACTTCGTGTTTTGCAGAATTTGACCAGACATACGACTGTCCTGAGGAAATCCTTAACTCCAAGGCAAGAGTTCCAGAACCAGTACCTGTTTTCTATGTACTAGATGACCCTTACCCAGAAAGCATTTCAAGCACGTTCGGGCACGGAGAGAATGTTAGGGGACGCCCAGACGGAAACGTTTACGATGAACCTGAGGTGGATCTCACCCCTGACGGATCGTTCATTGTTATGGACAGTCCAAGTGGTATGTCATCTCTTTAAGGCCGAAGAGTGACCAAAATCAATTTTCTCCTTGAAATATCAATGCATGATCAAGTGAAAAGGATGTGAGAATTTATAAAATGATCACCAGAGGAAAATTGCTTTGATCTTTTATCAGTATCTCTGAACTACTTCTTTTAAGAAAAGCGTGCAGCTCAGTCTGGAGATTTTGTGTGTGGATATTAGGCTTAAAGTTAAAGGGTCAACCACTGTTGTAAATAGGAATACTTTCCATGCACTGATTGTGAATTGCGTTAAGGAGGAAACGATTATCAATTCACCAGAAATCTCCACAAAACTAACGGATTGGCTGTCCCCTTCTAGAGAAGGCTTTTTATTGGATGGATAATAAATGCCAAGTAATTTTGTTTTAAAGAATGGCACGTACGTATGTATTTAAGCCAGATCAAATTTGATCCTCCACTTTCGCTTTCATAATTACAATGAATAATAGAAGAAACTAAATTTCACAACGACATATTCCAAGCCGGTAAAGTTTAATATGAAAGAGTACTCTCGCCAACCACACAGAGGATTGGTGGTGAAGATAACCCAATATAACTTTAACACGCACAAGGACGTTTCGGTTTGCACTTATTATTTAATGAAATCTAACCGAATCAGCTTAAAACTCGCCAGTTCTTCCTTAAAAGCAAGTAATTCATAATCTCATACAAAAAAAAGCAGTGAAAAAATTACTCTTTTTTTTACAGAATGCATCCTCATCTCCTTTTATTTATTTGTTTTGTTTTGTTTTTTTTCCTTTGCCTAGCCGTCGCCTATACTCGTGGATATGACGACCAACCACGTGGCGAAGACTTACAGAATAGGCGTAGAAGTCAGGGTATCTTGAAGGTTGGCTCAGCGTCTCCGAGAGACCAAGGTTATTACTCCCAATCAAGCAATGCTCGAAACTAGACATTTACAACAACTCAAATGAATTCGTACTCGAACTAACAGTTTATAGAAAGAAACTCTTTTAAAATTGTCTGCTAGAATTACTGAGAAAAGAGGCGGTGACTTGAGAATCGCCTGCCGGCCAACAAGCTGCCGGGCATTGATCACCCGCAAATATCAAAGAAGAGTGTACATATGTGTTTCTGATTCTCCATTTTAGTGGTTTATGCCGGAGTGTGTTTACCATCGGTTTGACGTAACGTGAAACGTTTTTCTATATGATTAAATGGTATTCCCAAAATTCAACCCTGTTTCTTCTGAAAGTGCCGATTTGCACATGTTTTTTTTTTTTCAAAAGTAATGTATGACAATTTAGTTACGAACACCGTTTACTTACTTAACATAGTTATCTAGAAATCTTTGAACACTGCTCCAGGGTAAAAAAAATCTGTAGCTCAATTCAATGGTCCTATAAAACTATGTAGCCAAATAATAGTTATTATTAGAATTTTCAAACGTTGTCCTATTAATAGCCAATAATACTTTATTGTTAATACCAACATTGTGGACTATGCTATATTATTTGTTAAAGTAACAACAGCTGTAAGAACAAAATCATGGACGCCCCTTTTTACTGTTCCCAAAGCTAAGAGGAAGCAATATTTGAGTTTAACAGTCTTTATCTAGTTTGTTTGCATAATAAAAATCTTCTAATGGCGAGCTGTCTCTGTCATATGTATTCACAAAACAATTACACACTCGGCTGTGGGTTTAAATATATGTTTATAGGGGTGTAATGAATTGGAAACGTGCACCTGAACTCATTGAATATCTATTGATGTACCCCCTAATCCTCCCAAAATTGATGAAAAAGTTAATATATTCTGAGAATATATTCTTTTGGTGTAATATTCTCCCTCTTGGAAAGTCTGCCGTTACTTTAATGCCAGGACTAAAACTTTGCTTGAATTTAGCTGCAACGATTACCGATTTCAAATCCTTCGGCTCCTATTCTTGCAACCTTATGAAGCAACGTCTGTGTGAGTAGCTTACCTCACCGATGTAGAATTGCATTGGGAGGGGCCGGGGGTGCCCGGCCCCCTTTACTTTTAGACCTAACTGAGGTCCTAAGGGCCGAAAAAAAAAAATTCAAGAGCGTCCCGCCCCCTTATCGCAGGGTCTGGACGACCCTTTCCCCCTTATCTGAAGGTCTGGATCAGCCATTGCAAGATGATTACTGATCCCTTATTGGCGCCTTTTTTTTTTGCTTTTTTTTCCTCTGTATTTCTGTACGCAGTTCAGAACAAAGATCAAGAAAAAAAGACGCCAAAAGCTTTTAGCATATTTTCACCGACCGAAGATTATCTATTAATTATCTTATCTTTAAAAAGGGGTTGCAAAAAACAAGCCGGAGGTTGCGCATTACTCTGCACCAGCGTGGTGGTGTTGATTTTCTTGACACCTTCTTCTGTCCCGAGGGAGGAGGGACGAGTAGTGAACTCATATTTGGGTATAGTTGAGTCGCTGAGGGTTTGAAACCCTATCCCAGCCTCCTTAGGACGAAAATAAAAATCCTCAATTTTATTACCCTGTTTGTACAGGCAATACCCTCTATATAATTAAGACATACTCGCACAAAATAATACACCGTATTTTGGACATAGAGATAACCAGAACAATACCTTGTACAGCGGCGCATACCCGTATAGGCCAGACAACCCTCCCCCTCCTTAGGCGTACTGTGCGTTCCTGGGTTTCCTAAAAGGCTTGCTTTAATTTAATTGTCGCTTTAGGAATCAGTTTATTTCGGGTAAACCATGCAAAGACATTTTTTCCAACCTTTTTCTTGTTGTTTTTGGTATTACAGTAAAGGGGGGATTGCTTTGCATTCATCCATCGACGAATTATTAATGATGTTGTCGTAATGATGATAAAAGTATTTAAAATTTCTAATTTCTAATAATAATTACACTATTCTAATAATTAGGTAATTATGATAAATCTTACCCTCCACGATACTTAGACTGACGTGAATCTTCAAATAATGTGTAAGCTGTCAATAATGGGCTTAGAGCGGTGATATAGGACCTTAACCCTTTCACTGCCAAATGTGGCCAAAGGCAAATTTCGACCACTGAAATATCCAAATTTCATTTTCTAAAATTTTGACAGGCAAATAGCACCATGTGTAAGTACAGGAAGAGAGCTTTCATTTGAATGGTCACATCATGGGATTTCGTCCACAGACTCAAAAGTTAGAGTCACCTTACAAAACTCCATCAAGCACTCTGGCAGTGAAAGGGTTAAAGGTGCAATAGCATGGGGAGTCAAAGGAGCATTTGGAGTAATATTTCTTGCACTGTTTTCTACAGCTACAGCTACAGCTTTGCCATTGCGTTGTTCAAGCCTTTCTTTCAAGAGCCCTCAGCAATATACATTAATTTTAAGCTATTAATAAGTTTTCTCATATATTTATGGTCACTTTAAATATTAGTCCCTGGCTATCGAAGATAATAGCAGATTCTAGGTTGGGCTCACACAGTTTTCTTCTGAGCAAGGATTACAACTATGTTTGTTTGCTATAAGCCATTTACATGTAAGTCTTAGAACAGCGAAGAGCAGCATTACTTAATTCTTAGGTATATATAGAATAGAATTTTTCGCATAACACAATATCTTCGCGCAATATTAAGATTGTTTTGACTTATTTCTGTTCTTCAAAGATGGAGCATAGCGTCGCTGACTACCTAATATAAAACTAAGGGAGAAATATTTAACTGATCTCTGCATTGAGTTGATAATGTTCAGTAAGCATCTTCTCTCTTTTGAGTCTCTTTTTCTGGAAGCCTTTCAACTTCCGATTAGTTATATGACTTGAAAACTCCTGTCGCCAAAGCTCGATTGAGATGGATTTCGCTGGCCATTATTTGTAACTGAGGAAGAAAAACATAGTTATTACTAAATAGTAATTAGGCCTAACTAGATTTGCAAATCTCAACATCGTTCGTGTTACGACCCCTTTAGTAACTTTTATTTCAACTGGTATGATCTCTAGTGCATTTATAGTACATTTCCATGGAAACCTGTTCATGATAGCCATTATGTTTTACCAAGAATGTAGATCTTAAATATCGATGATTCTTTGGGTTCCTTTTACGTAACAATTTCTATACGTCCGTTTTCAGGGGCACCTAATGGATCTGTTCCTCAAAATATCTGTTCTTCAGGCACATTTTTGCTGGCTGGGAGATGTGGAAGAAGTAATAGTCCTTGGAAGGAAAGTGTTGCTGGGAAAAAAATAATTCAGGGTGTCAGAGGGGATTTGAAGTCTAGAATAGCTGCTACGGGTTACTTGTATGGGTTACTTACCACTCAAGATCTGAATTATCCCCTATGAAACTTCCCAGTAAGTCAGGTTGCAGGTTGTAAGTTTGCTGGCTGGGAACTCTTCCATCAGTCTTGCTGGGAGTGAGGAACAGATAATTTTTTTCCAGCAATCTCCCAAAATGCTTAAAATAGTCTCAGAAAACTTTATTCACGCTTTGTTGCTGTTTTTGGGTCTTTTTCTCAAAATTTCCCGTTGGGTGCCCCTGCGTTTTCGCTATTTCATTGCTTAAAACTGTCCAAAGCCTATTAATTATAAATGATGTTTATTATATGCTTATATATTAGAAATTCAAAATACTGCTGTCCACATAATCTAGCTCCTTCTGATAACAGTTAAGTTCAGCGCTTTCAGAGAAGAGGTTGTTCTCGATTTAACATTTAAATCTAGAAGGAGGCACCTTGGCCCTACACCCCTATAAAATGGGCCAGCAATCGTACTTATCATCTATCAGAACTAAGGAACCGGTCATTATTTATCGCTTAAGCGGGGAAGTACGGGGGAAGGGTGGGCGGCGGAGGATTCGGGGCTAAACAAGGTCAAATTTAGCCGATTCCCTCTTTGCTTGAATGTTACTTCACTGAAGTGATGCCCCCTAAAAACTTTTGATGACTTTCCCCCCCCCCCTTTGTCTTCATTTTCCAAGCAAATTTGAGTGGTCCCCTCTCTGAATCCTTCCAAAGTTTTCAGTGATCCCCCCTTTTGGGTTCTCAGTTACGACTGATCCCCCCTTTCGTTCTCCCATAAATCGTATTAGACCAAATAGGGCTGGGATACCTCTGGACAAAAGCACATGTAAATGACATAGGAATCTTGAACATTATCAAACAAAGACTGAAAGACATCGAATTACAAAGATGGTTAAGTGACGTAAACAATGACGTAAGAAATGACGCCAACCAAAAGAACGAACTAAGAACCTTCAGAAAATTTAAAACAATAGAAAATTATAAATGTGAAGATTATCTTCGTCAGGTCACCAACGTCCGACACCGGATAACTCTAACTAAACTCCGTCTAAGCAATCACAAATTGGTGATAGAGACAGGTTGGTATGTAAGACCTTATAAGAAACCGGAAGAGAGGATCTGTCCTATCTGTAAAAGACGTAGAAGATGAAATACACTTTTTAACTCTGTGCCCTGCGTATCAAGAAAAAAGAAGTACTTTATCTGAATACTTAAACAAAGAATACGGAATATCAGTAAACAGAATGGCACCAGATAATGTTTTTCTGTTGTTAATAAACCCTCTGAGCAAGAACAAACCAGTGCAAAAGTTAATTGCAAGATACGTATTCGACTGCTATGAGAAAAGAAGATCATTAGTTGTTTAGGTTAACATTGATTATAGTTCCACTAGTGTGCAATTTGTGTTATGATTTTAAATTATTTGGATAAAGTCGATATACATAGGACTGTATAAGACTCCAAATAAAACATTGTCTTGTCTTGTCTTGTCTAAATCAAGTGATCCCCCCAAATCCTCCGCCCCGCCCCCCTCCCTGGCGATAAATAATGACCGGTCCCTAAATCTTACAGACTCACATACCCTTGGGATTGTCTGCAACGATGTAAGATCCCCCACGGCTAAGATTACCCTCGGGTTGATCATAAACATGCCTCAAGGTATCATTCTGGCCATTTCCGACAGGGCTTGGAAGATTCTCCGCATAGGACTCGTCAGCTACGTAATACACAGGCACAGGTGTCGAGTGAAGTGGCTTAGAGTCCAGGATCTCCTCAGGACAGTCGTACGTTTGGTTGAAATCTGTAATTCGTAGAAAATTATTTTCACTTCTATAGTAGCACCCACAAATGTCTGTTATCGTAATGTTTTGTACAATTCTTATTTTCATTACCTTTTTACATGATAATCCTGTGTATAGTAATGTACTAATTTTATTCTTTTTAACATATTTCTTAAATACTGGTAAATAATCAACATGCAGGGCAATCCTGAAAACCACTTTGGTGAAAACGCACGCTGGTTAAAGAATTTCATGACTATCATTATTATTATCATTATCATTATCTTCATAGTAATTTTAATCGTTATTACTATTAGGTGAAGACTAACAGAGCGGGGTAATGTAGTTTAATTGTAATGCTAAACAGGTAAACAGGTTAAGTAGCTGAAGCTAACAAACAAATGAACACGTCCCCCATTTTCTCAATATATATTACTTTGCTTGCTTATTTGTTTCTCTGTCTCTATTTTGTTTAATTTGTTTTTCTTTTGTCGAAAACTAACCATGTGTGTTCTTCAAGTCCTCCTCTATAACTTTCTCTTCACTAGGACCGTGATCTGTTAAATCATTCTGATTTATTACTTTTCCTTCAAACAGTGGGTTCAAGGTAACGACTTCTTCTTTTAAGGTTAGAGCAGGGTTGATCTGACCGTTAACGCTGTCGCGCTTTTCCGCTGGAGGCCTTGGCGGTGCGCCCAAGGGAAAGACACCTGCGTAGTCAGGTTTTTGCTTGATTTCCGGGCCTACCATTACACCATCTGAGACTCTGCGGTATGTTGGATTGTCTGAAAAAGAGGTTTGCATGAAGCAATTTATCTTGGAACCTAAACAACGACAACAACAACCTTACTAACGACAATTAATACAAAATACATACTCACTACCAACATTTAGCAAAAGGTATTCAAGGCAGACCGTGTGGGGACCCTACATACATGAACTGATACATGTTAAGACATTTTAGAGCGGTTTTCATTTGAGTGTCGAAAGGTAATTGGTTTTGCGTTTACTACGCTACGTGATTGGCTTAAAAGATTCGCGCCACTTTTTTATCCAATCAGAAGGAAAACCAAAACCAATTGTGTCACGCTCGCATGCATTTTCCCGCGCTTTGCGTCAGCTACATGTAATTACTTCGAGTTTTAATTGGTTCACTGTATTGTCTGTGTCCTTTGTGATTGGCTAGAGTAATTACTTTGGTTTTGGTTTTACGATACTCAAATGAAAACCGCTCTACAAGGAAATTAAAGAGATTTACGTCTCAAGTTGTCTTTAAGTTCTTTGAAACATTAGACGGGCATATTTGGCTATTAAAATAACTTGATAAGTATTGTAATTATCTAATTTTAGTAAACATGATTAAAAGTTTTATTGTGATTTTTTAAGTTGACGAAGTTTGCATCGTTTTCTGAAATATGAAAATAAAGTTTCTGTCTAAGGTTATTGTATTCTATACGATGCATTAAGAAGTGTTTTTCCTCTTCACAATTTAATTTTTTTTTTGCAAACTAGACAAAGCCTTTCTCTACTGGTATGGATACTCCTTTATTTTAATTTTACCCTGTTTGTTTGCGTAAAGAATGAACTCCTAATCGCAGCTTAGTCATACTATTTTATGCGATGGATTTCTACTAACTGTCAAGACATTCTTCTAAGTGTTAATCTTTTTTTAATTTCCTTGTTTGTATATTTTTCACTAGAGCCATCTGAAATGTTGCTTTGAGCTTTTAACCAATTTTGATTTTTTTTTTCTGTAACTGTTGTTTAATGCTTGAACGAGTGATCTTGGCACGTTACTGATTTATTACCTCGTAATATTTGTATTGTCTCGTCACTATTAGATTTAATAGAGCAAAAAACTGACTTTGGTTTCTCGTGTAAATAAAAGCTTCATTAAGAGAGGGTTTTCCGACATTTGTACTAATCTTTGCCAGTAAAAAAAAAAACATAACAGCTGGCTGAACATGCCTGACGCATTGAAAAACATCGTAACTCACCCATGCTATTTGTAGGCCCGACCTCCATCACGTAAGCTGCATCTGTGTAGACTGGGATAGAGTTGCGACTCATCTATAAAAAGGAAGAAGAAATGACTGTATTAAGCAAAAACTGTAGAAATTATACCTAAACAAGGGACGTTGTAATACGCAATACACGTTTGTTTCAGGAACCTGGCTTGTTCACGTCTGACTCGTTCTCAGTTCTCTCTCAGTCCCAGGTTATCAAAAAAGAGAGAAGCGCGCTCAAAGGGAGCGCCCACTCCCCCTCCGCTCGCTTTCCTCTGGGCTAAACTTCTCGCGCTCCGTTCTCCTTGGTTAGTCCAAATAGAGATGACTGGTCAAGACAACGAATCAGATTTCGCGTCTTTTTAGTTTAAATCTTAAACCTTCTATTAATGATCCAAACTACGTGAGATTTAATTTAATATTTCCTTTCGTTTGATTTTGCCATACAACAAATGGATGGAAGGAAAAGTTTCCTTAAGCATACTTTGAATTATTCATTCAAAGTATTTCCCTGATTGTGATTGGCTAAAAGCACACGCTTAATTCACCATAACCAGTAAACGTAAACAGAACATACCTGTGAAATCGGACTGGAAATTGATGAGGCTAAAAAAATAAGGCAACAAACGATCATAAACAAAACATGAACAATGAAAAAAATATTATTATAGAGAGTGAACAAATTCACTGCGCAAAAAGGCACATATTCGCGACTGAATTTGCCCGAATACGGATAGGCACACGTGGAGTGTACGATAATATCCGGAGGTACTCAAGCACGCATGACGCGATGTACACCTCGAATATTCTACTTAGAATCCGGACTGTTTTTCCGAACTCAAATAGAATACCTCGGAATACCATGGTAGATTAGGATAGATGGGATGAGAATACTGGATTGATATTCGCCAACCCCACCCACCCCCTCCCTGCTATTTTTTCCATTACCATAACTCTAACACCCGCCAAGTCGCAAGAAAGGTGATGGTGGATTTGAACTGGGAAAAAAGAAAACTTACTTTCCAAAGGGTTTAGAGAATCAACTCGTTTCCTGCAATAAATAAATAAATAGATAAATAATAATCACTGACAATAAAACGCTGAGAAACTTCTGATACCAAACGAGTTATTGGAAGAGCTGGAGTATTCTAAGTATGTTGGTATTATCATTAAGCAATAACAGTAAAAGTCTGCTGCTTTTATTTGTCTATTTTTAAACTACACTTGCGCATATGAGTGAGGGTGGAAAGGCAAATAACTAGTTTGGTGCCATTAGTCTTCTGCAACTTTTCAATTAATTTGTTCGCCGTCCAAGACCTAGGCTCTCTATATTGGCCACAAATCTGAATGACTATACAGATTCAAGGCTACCTTTAGTAAATCACCGGTTTTTATAAATACATGAAAGTATTTACCGTAGCAAAGAACAAATGATTTTTTTTCTAACCTAGTAGTATTGCAGCGCCATGCAATAAGAAGAATCAAAGCGATGAGTAAAATACTGCCTGCCACAGCCCCCGCTATAATGTAAGTGTTCTTTTTTTGGCCTTTTTGCTTTTCTTTATCTGCAGACTGTCCTGTTGGGCCCTGGAAATTAAGAAAAGACAACTAACGTATTAACCCTTTGCCGTCAGTCATTTATTAGGGAAAAAATCGCATTTTGGACCAAATCTTCCTTTTTGAACCGTTTTTGGCCAGTTGGCACGGAGATGGCTAAAAAGAGACTACTAACACTAGGGACATAATTTTCTGTTATTTGGGCGTAATTAAGCAGCTTTCTTGTTTTTGGCGCAAGCGCATAAGCCAAAACTTGAACAGGATTGGCCAAAATTTGCAAAATGAGGTACCAGTGAAAAGATCTATTCATGCTGAATTCTCCAATTATCATCTTAATAGCTTAAACGGAAAGCTAAATGGGTCAAGACAAGATAATATGCATGGGTCCATACAGACCAAAAACGACCAAAGCAGACATTAAAAGTTGAAATTAAACCCGGGGGTGACTCCCTTATATAAGCCATATAGTTATGTACCACCCTATCGATAGGGTTTTTGCGCCGTTTTGGTCTGAAAACGCGTATACACTTTGCCCATTTTGTCTGGAATCGGGTTTTGTTTTTTGAGGGAACTACGGAAGTGTATGAACGGATTTATCATTTCAGTTCCAAATGAGTAAGAACGAAAGAGAATATGGCTTCGAAGAATTTTTTTGTTTGCGCTCTAATCCAAGTAAATATAACATAATTTCTGAATGAAGGCAACGGTTATGGATATTAGACGTCTGGTCTGAAAACGGGTGTAGAAAATTTCATTTTTTGGTCTGAAATGGGGTTAGGATTTAGAGAACAGGATAGAGAATAGGATATTAGAGAATAGGATACAACACAATACTGCCAATATTACGCAAAAATAAATCAATCAATTCAGTTGGCACTAATTAACAAGTATGTAGTTTTAAAATTCGTTTCTATGAAAGAAAACTGAAAAGATTAAACATGTTCAAATCTCTCCTTTCACCCTTTCTGATGGTTATTGAGTAACACCGTTACTCGTGAACAGTTTCTTTGTGTTTTTGTTTTGTGTTGCTTTGTTTGTTTGTCTGTTGGCCTGTTTTTATAACACAACTGACAGATAGACTAAAGTAGCATTGCTACTAATTATAAGCCCATGCCTTACCCCAAAATCAGGCTGGGTACTACTTTCAAACGGAGATGTGGTCACCTGTTGAGATACGAAATACATACTACTTTTAAACCGAGAGTGAGGTCATTACAGGACAATCTCAGACCGAGTCCTTGATGAATTGACCGAGCAATACATCAAGGCCGAGGTCTGAGATTTCCCTGTAATGACCAAACGGACGAGGTTAAAAAGTTATTTGTTATGTGGCCTTTTTATTGTGGATCTGAGCCTGCGATCAATTAAACCAACAACTGGTCAGCGAATACGTACTCAATTACGCCAATTACGTGTCACCGACACGTAATTAAGTATATCTGAAATAAATAAATAATAGAATAAATTTATTTGGGAAGGAAATAAGTGAGGCTCATTACAATTTATAAAATTACTAAGATAGTACGCGCGATCTGGTTGGTCAAAACCTATGGTTCATTATACCGAAAAACCCGGCCCAAAGAAAAAGGCATCAAGACCACTAGTCATAGACAAAACCGGCTAATGATCTGCAAACAACAATTTTTAGAAAGGCTCAAAAACGGAACAATTTACTTATGCAGCCCTTGTTAATATTAAAAAGCGTTGGCTTCCACATTTTATTTACTGAGCGTCACAATTCGCTACTGCCATAGCTTTAAAAGTTATAAAGTACAAAGCTGGAAAGCAGTTTGCTTTTCACGACGATGCCAAATCGCAGAGAAAGACAACAACTGTATGAATTTCTGGTGTCGAAAGTCTCTGGGAAAACTTGACCATGTGCCAACCGGCAACAAAACGGATAGTTTTAGCATTTTTAAACTATTTTCTGTCAAAATTAAATTCCTGAATAGAAAAAGAAAAGGTTCCGAAGAGAGATCAGATCGAGTAGATCAAGTTCTGGTACAAAATCGGCCGCTGCAGGCTGTAAACGAGCCGTAAACGATGATGAAAGATGTCAGAGTTTCGCGCTGGTTTTTTGTCAGTAAAACGCGAGGTTGGCGTCGGCGCCGGAGCCGGGGTTGGGGTCGATCATTGTTTTTAAAGAATGCTGCTTTAAGGTTAGGGTTAGGGTTAGGGTTAGGGTTAGGGTTAGGGTTAGGGTTAGGGTTAGGGTTAGGGTTAGGGTTAGGGTGGACAATAATACTAACCCTAACCCTAACCCCAACCCTTAAAATCAGGAGTATTTTAAAAAAAGGATGGACTCCGACCCCGGCCCGACCTCGTGGTTTACTGACACCCAATTTATCTACCTTTCAGTGTGATTATATACTCGAGACAATAGCAATTACTTACCCGAACTTCTTGCGTCGTTTCAGCTCCTGCTCCAGGAACATTAGTAGTTATGTTCTGCCGAAATGTAAGAGAATATCACTTAATTTTCGAGCCTTCAAATCTAGTCGCAAAATAGAAAACACAATTATGACCCAAACAAACCTCAGTTGTGACAACAGCCGGTGTGCCTGAGGTTACGTTTTCTGCCTAAAAATCAAAATTGCAAAAGTTTGTAACCATGATTAGATAGGTAATACCATTATTTGCGGTGATATTTGGCATAGATACCTCGAGTGATATTTCAAAATTGTTGTACGTAATTTCACGAACTGTTAAGCGAGTGAGATTTGAGACAAGTTTGAAATATCACGAGTGGTATTTATGCAAAAATGTCACCTACAAACCATGCTATTTTTTGTTTATACTACTACCGAAATGCAAGAGAATATCACTTGATTTTCGAGCCTTCAAATCTAAACGCAAAATAGAAAACACAATTATGACCCAAACAAACCTCAGTTGTGACAACAGCTGGTGTGCCTGTGGTTACGTTTTCTGCCTAAAAATCAAAAGTACAAAAGTTTGTAACTAAAATTAGAATAGGTAATTACGAATGGCATGATTCGTAGTGATATTTGGCATAAATACCACGATTGCGATATTGCAAAATTGTTGTACGTAATTTAACGAGCTGTTTGGCGAGTGAGATTTGAGACAAGTTTGAAATATCACGAGCGGTATTATGCCAAATATCACTTACAAATTGTGCTATTTTTGTTTATACTACTACCGAAATGCAAAAGAATACCACTTGATTTTCGAACCTTCAAATATAAACGCAAAATAGGAAACACAATTATGACTCAAACAAACCTCAGTTGTGACAACAGCTGGTGTGCCTGTGGTTACGTTTTCTGCCTAAAAATCAAAATTACAAAAGTTTGTAACTATAATTAGAATAGGTAATTACGAATGGCATGATTTGTAGTGATATTTGGCATAAATGCCACGATTGCGATATTTCAAAATTGTTGTACGAAATTTCACGAGCTGTTTGGCGAGTGAAATTTGAGACAATTTTGAAATATCACGAGTGGTATTTATGCCAAATATTACCTAAAAATCATGCTATTATTTGCTTATACTACTACCGAAATGTAAGGAAATATCACTTAATTTTCGAGCCTTCAAATCTAAACGCAAGAAAGAAAACACAATTATGACCCACACAAACCTCAGTTGTGAAAACAGCTGGTGTGCCTGTGGTTACGTTTTCTGCCTAAAAATCAAAATTACAAATTTTAAGTTTGTAACCATGATTTGAATAGGTAATGAATGGCATGATTTGTAGTGATATTTGGCATAAATAGCACTCGTGGTATTTCAAAATTATTGTACGTAATTTCACGAGCAGCTGGGAGAGTGAATTTTGAGACAATTTTGAAATATCACGAGTGGTATTTATGCCAAATGTCACCTACAAATCATGCTATTATTTGTTTATACTACTACCGAAATGTAAGAGAATATCACTTAATTTTCGAGCGTTCAAATCTAAACGCCAAAAAGAAAACACAGTTATGACCCAAACAAACCTCAGTTGTGACCACAGCTGGTGTGCCTGTGGTTACGTTTTCTGCCTGAGTGGTTGTTGGACGCGTTGGTGTGGCTGTGGTGCTGGTTATTTCAACAATTGGAGGTGGTAAAGTTGCGGTTTGGTTTAACGGAGGCTGTTGAGGGATTGGACCTAAGCAATTTCAAAGATAGTAAGTTTAGCTTTAATCACCAATAATTAGTATGGTTCCCATGCTTCGTTGCTAGAAATTTATATCTAGTTGTTTTGGCAATTTACAAGTTAAGCGCAATCTCCTTTGGTACTGTTGTTGTGGATCAACAGAAGAAAAGGAGCTATTCACAGTGGTAAGCTGAGTATGGTGATTATCTTAAAGATCACGGTCCACTGAGTGATTAGTGAATAGTAGCGAAACAAAAGATTAAATGCCTACAGGTAATGTTTTTAGTCTCTGTGGAATCAGCCCAATTTGCAAATGATTGTTTCATTTAGTGCTCATTTCATGCAACGCTTGACCTTTTTTCTAGTTTGTTTGCTGGTTTTCCATCAAATTTTCAATCAGTTTGACATGTACATCCATTAGAGGTCTTACACTGTATTCTGCCTGCAACCTTGAACATAACGCAGCTGCTGTCGACTGTGTTGTTAAGTAAATCGCGGCACTGTACTGCGACTCTAAAAATCCTACCAGGGTTCGAGTGAAGGAAAGATGGAACGCTGCCTCTTGTCTAGGAAGGAAAAAAAGAAATGGAACAAACAATCATCAACTAGCTAAAAAATACTGCAAATCTGTTAAGCTGCGTTTCTTGTTGTTGTCTGTTTGTTTCTTTTTTTTTCTTTCGAGTTTGTTTGTTTGTTTGTTATGCGATTTAATGGTTGAGCAGTAAATCTGTTTAGCTGTCTTTGCTTTGATTTATTTGTCTATTGTATATTTGTTTGCTTGATAGTTTCATACGACATCTGTATAACATGGAAATTAGGTCGTTACAAGGTGGACTAGTCTATTACCTAAATACCTCGCCGTTATTTGTAATGACGGGTTGTCGTATAAACAAGAAGTCCGCGAACACAGACGCCTTTCATAGCTGCCTGTCGATTGAGCGGGCGGCAGGAAAGTCGACGAGAGGCGGTTGTATTCGCAGGCTATTTAACAAGGAGTCGTAGAATAAGGAAAAATGACCTGGAGACGAGATCATGCATGTTGTGGAGAAGGTCATAAATGGCGGTTGCTACTGTACCAGTTACAGAAATGTCAACAAGCTAACCTTTCGGCACGGTCAAACCTGGACTATACCGCGAGTTGTGAGGGCACCTAGAGAGACAAGCCTTCACCAGACTTTGCGCAGGTAACTAGGCAAGAGAAAACGCCTTGGGCATAGGCTGTCACAAAGCGTGTTCGCATGAACTGTAATTGAGTACCCTTAATACACACCGCGAGTTGCAGCTGACTTGTGTTCCAACCAGGAGTGACCTCTAAACTCTCATTTACACTGTTTGATGATATCTCCTTCCAGGCTCCGTCGCAACCAACGTAATGTGCGTAGAGTTTCTCCCCAAAGTAAAAGCTGCATGTTTTGTTGGCAGGGACGTTGATGGTTTTCTTAGAAACACCCGTTGAGGGAATAAAAATTAATGCGCTCTCAGCTGTCTTGCCAGTAAAGAGTAAATCACACCCTAAGGTGAAGAAGACGACGATGTTATTTTCATAAAAGTTTAAAAACTGACAAAATATTAAGTAGGCATATTTCTCAATCGATTCACGAATACGCGATAACCTCGCCGGCAAAACTTACTCAGACTCAGACTCAAATCAAAATTTAAAAAAGTTTGAAACCAGGATTACACTAGAAACAACAACAGCAATCACCATCATCATCATCATCATCATCATCATCATCATCTTCATAATAACAAATTCACTGAAGAGGAGGCAATAGAGGAATGCATGCTTATCAATCGTGAATGCATAAGCTGCATAAAACTGTTACCCATAGCCCATTTTATAGTTACAAGTGGAAACGAGGCTGGAATTGACCTTGTTTTTGATACAACCCTTCCTCCTTTAATCATGTTATTCCTATTCAAACAATTTTTTTATCATAATTTTTATAAGAAAATGAAGGAGGTTTGTATCAAACTGAACAAGGGCAACCTCAGCCTCAGGTACCTCAGAGGCTAGGGTACTAAGCCCACAAAGCCGTAAAATGGTCTATTCGGAATTACGTCAAAAGTCTCACTACCTATTATGTCGCATCATAGTTATTAGAGGAGACTAGTCATGAAAGACAACAAAAACAACAAAACGGTGCTGCGGTTTATGTTAGAAGCTCCCTGAAGGGGCACAATCTTTGTTTTCTATTGGCAAATTGTGACGGAATAAGTTTTTGGGAGGCGTTTATTTGTCACTAAGGGCCTGTTTACATGGAGGTGGGGGACCCCAGATAGGTGAGGTAACATGTGGCGGGTCACCCCACCTATCATGTAAACGTGATCAAGTTAAAATGAGAGATTATATGGACAGGCGGGTTACCTCACCTACCTTAGGTCCCCCACCTCCATGTAAACAGACCCTAAGATCAAAATTCTAGGAATGCTATTGAACGTTGTGCACCGTGAGGTCCACAAAAACAAAGGACTAGTCTGACGGGTTTCATAACCAATCCAATCTATTAACTATGGTCACATTATTCAGTGACTGACTACGTATGAAGAAGATATATGTATTTTCTACGATTCTTAAACTTTTAACAGTAGCACAGTTTGGTTTGGTTGGCTGCATCCTGATCGCAAGTGGACACTTGATCTGTGTGCTTCATTTTCTCAATTTATTAGCATAACCAATGCTTTTCAACCTTGTTATTTAAAGTTGTTATTGTTCTTAGTTTTTGATTGAATTGGGACGCTTTTATAATTAAAGAACATTCCACCAACCAATTCTTTGTTTGCAAACACGTGACCAGGAGGCCATGTTCGTGGTCAATACAATGAAATTCTTTTGGAAGAATTGACATAAAAATAGAGCTTAGCTTCCAGAGGGGAGAAATGCTTTTGTTCTTGACAACCAACATGGTCTCTAGGACTTCACTTACGAACCGGCAATAATAGCAAGAAAGCGATACCCTAGAAAAACTGTTCAAGAACACTCAAATTGATGGCGCAAAGTGGTTCGGAAAGGGGGGGGGGGGAGGGAATTGGTTGGGGTGAATTGGAATAAAGGCTTGCTGTACATTAACTTGGTATGGTTACCAGCTAACTTTTGGGCAGTAAAAATCCGCCCCCTCCCCCTTTCCAAAACAAAATCTACAACAAAGGCATTTAGATGTTCAAAATGTAACTATGGGTCATTGTCATAAAAATCTCAACTCGGCCCCCATAATTAATATTCAAGATAGTGAGTAAGAGACCCGCCATAACTAACAGGCTCCAAAGTCGGACTGCCAAGGTAATTAGTAATTAGCATTCTGTGAGGCTCATCACGCCTTGCCTCAGAGCCGATCTCCTTGCACATGCGAAGATTGGGTGAATACGCCAAATATAGATTGATGGGAAGCGAATTAATTCAGCACTGGAATTCTGTATCCTATTACCTTTACTAGTACTTAAGCCAAACAAAAAGCGTTACTGAGATATAAAGTACGTTTAGACGAAATATAAGACGGAAGAAAGTCCGAAAGCATAGAATTGGACTCGTTGGAATACGCCTCTGATCCGGCATACAAAGGAGAAAACATAACAATACAGTGACTCTTGACTAGTATTGATCGCTATGTAGCATTCCCTTCATCGCTCCAGCTACCTTTAAGCAATTGCGGTTGTTTTCAGTGAGTCAGAGCTCTTAATTAGCTTTTTCGCGAGCTTGGTTACCATCCATAGATTGAGGAGGAAGGAGTCTTCCAACTCCACTGCCTTCCTACGGAAAACTCTGGTTTTATTAAATTTCCCGTTCGAAATACTAAATTGTACCTTCCTTAATTGTTCCAAGCAAACTTGATATTTTGGCCAACGGTAAACAACCAAAGAATCCATTTTGGTGCTTGCTGATTTATAAATAAAAGTTTAAAATAAGAACTTTCCCTGATATTAAAATGACGACCTTGTATACACTAATGGCCTGCCATCAAAATATTCATTCAGAGTGCTGTTGGTACCTGTGTGTATAATACCGATAATAAAGAATAAAATAATAAATTTCAAATAATAAATCTTATCAGTAGGATATATTAAATAACTAGTTAAATCATAAATTGAAAGACTCCATTTTATTACTCGCTGATTTATAAATAAAGAAGGAAAATAAGAATTTACCCTGATATCGAGATGTTGACTGAGTATTCGCTGATTACCTGTCATCAAAATATTCGTTAAGAGTTGGTACGCGTGTGTATAATACATGAACATAAAGAATCCAGTCAGTATGATATGTTAAGTAACGAGTTCAATTACAAATTGAAAGAGTGATTTGGTAGAAAAACAAATAAATTATAAAGAATAATCATACTCATAATCATAGACATAATGAACACCATACTTTTTTATACACTGTGATTGGAACAAAATTCTGTGCACAAGTTAATGACATAAGCATTTTAGCCCTCGTTATTAAAGGCCGGCACCTTTATTATGATGTTGAAGAGCCTGCAGGTATTAAGGGTATACTTTCGTTTTGTGCTGTTTCGTTTTAAACCCTTTCATTTGGTACATAATACATGAGGAAGGAAGATTGCGCACAAAGATGCAAACTTGCTTTTAAAAGCAAAAAGCTCGTACACCGCACAGGGCTTACAAAGAGTAGCTTCTGTACAGCATCAATGCTTCAATATCTTAATTAGAATAAAATAATTAAATCAATTGAACTAAAAATCGCGAACCTAGTAAACCGATAAGAGTACTAAAACTTGCCCACGCAACTTCCTTCGAAATAAAAAAATGTCTATAGATAATTTTCAAAGTAATCGAGGTAATCAACTGTTATACTTTTTAAAGTATGTATATTTTATTGAAAAGTGTCAAATATTGAAATATTCTAGATCAAGGAGAAAAGAGTTATGATATAGCTTTTCTCGATCCTTGGTGTGTGAGCTGTATAACAACAAAGTCCTTGGATAGTGACACGGGTTTAACAGGGACATAGGAAGGAAAATTTGTCGTTCTTTGTATTCCTTGATCATTTCAAGAAAAATTGAGATATTGCTATAATACGTTTTCCTGATGAAAAATTAAGGATTTAATTTTCCTTTTTGTTTGTACAATTTTTACAGGTGACAACAATCAATGGATTTTCTAAAGAATGTTATGGTGTAATTTAAGCAAATTAGCGGACAAAATGGTAAAGAAGCTCCCTAGAGAATTTCAGTAACACTACTCGGTGACTGAAGATTGTCATGCGTTTGATAGAAAAATTAAACCTAAATTTGATCCACATATTTTAAATTTCACTTGACTGCTACATGCTTGGCAGACCAATAGCAACAGACCATGGCCAAATTTTGACATAACAGCTCTACCATCAATAAAATCCATTCCCACACAATCATTTTCTACAATACAGCTAGCAAGTTAACTTAAAAGGAAATACATATCCTTGCCTTTGTATTAAGTGACGGATTTCACGATTCCAAAAATTGAATCTGCGAAACATACGTTCTGGTTAATTAGCAACACCAAATTGAATACTATATAGCTAAATCGATCCTCCTTTAGACATTTGTTTGTCACCTGGGACAATCGGATAGTTAATATTTTGTAACTTAAATTGATGAGAAGACATTAATTAAAAGGCAATGTAAGTAAGCGCACCAAATGAAACTAAGTTACCTGATCTCTGACGAGCCAAGCTGACCTTCAAGCAAGAATTGGTCGGTTCAAAGAAAGTGTACTTGTCCCCTCCGGGTCTGTCACATTTACAAAAACAACCTCCGAGCAACTGAGCCTTGTATTTACGGCATGCAGGAGATACATTATTTCCGTCAAAAGGGCATTCAGCAGTATTTCTGGGCAGTTTAAGGTCGTCCTCTATCGCTAAACTCGGATCTCTGTCGATTTCGATTAACAACTGTGACTGAGCATGGACTAAACTCAAGCAGTAGAGCGCAATCAAATAGGGGACAAACGCAGCCATGCGCATGCTAGTTTGCGAGAATTCTAACTGTTACCAAAGGCAGTCAGATCATTAAAAATCTCTTCGAATGTGGTGATTTTCACAAAATGTTAAGACTTCCTCTCGCTAGAATGAATGCTTCCACGCGAGCTACGAATTCCTGCTGAAGATTCGTGGAGCCGCAGAAACCATAATTGGAACTGAATATTGAGTCGAAGGTTTTATATTTCAGTTCCTCCTCGCTTTAATAAACATATATGGGCGCTTTTGCGGAAACATTTAACCAGGGCATATATTGATATTGTTTTCCAGTGGCCGAGTAGATCAAAAACAATCTTTGCGTCAGCCAGGTGACGCAGATGACTCAATGGCTTTAGCAGCAACAACAAAAAGTTTATCTGATACAGTGCTGTCTTACCACATTGTGTAGGGATAGAGACATTACTGTTAAATTGAGGTGTGGGTTGAGAAGAACTTGAGAGTTGTCATTAGTACTAAGAGAAATTATAAGAAGATGAATTCACTCACATCAAGAGGGGTTGGAAAATTTCCTCATTCTCGCACTTACAAGAAAATGTCAAAGGACATCATGATCAAAAGCAAACTCCGTTCTGTGAAATAGAAAAACGGATAAGTTTTTTATATTGAACAATTTCCAGCTTAATAAAAGTTCCTGAAGCATCCGAAAACAAAAAGCAAAATTTTTGCCCCAGTTCGGAAAGGAATCGTGTCTTACTGCGAGTGTGGGAAAATAACGTGCATTCTTTTTACCTTAATTCTCAATATATAGAACTGAAACACATGAAACTGAGCACGCTGGCTGTAATCAAGACTGAAGAGCTTCTTTGTACAAAACAATGAAAAAATGGCAGAATTCGTAGTGTTTGTCACGTTTTTTGGTAGTTTACTTTTAAAACTGGAGACTTGTTGTATCCACACACAACAAAAAGATCTCTTTTCAGATGTAAACTGCATGCATTGGATTTCTGGTTTGCAAACTGGTGACAAAATAACGAGGCTATGTTGGTGGGGAAGATGATCCTTTCAGGGTAGTTTTTTTCTTTAAATCTATATTTTTTCTTTCGCAGAACCAATGTAAACATTATATTTTAAGACTTTGTAAGCGGCGCATGATTTACCATCACTTTTAAGTAAGCACATACATTAGACATTTATTATATAAAAAAGTTATTATATTTTTGTGGAATCGACAGAGATTACGTGCACTTATTTTTTTTTTTATTGCAAAAATCAGACCCTCTACTTTCAGACAAGTTTGTTCATTACTGAGTTCCATAGTGTGTCAAGTGGATCTTTTGATAATGACCTTCACACATCACTACTCTCCCCAAGAATGAGACGAGCGTGATAAAAATAGCATGCGTTAATCTCTTACTCAAATATTATTTATTTAGTTTCACTTTTTTTACCCGCAATTCTAATCTCAAGGTTGCTATTACGCATGTGCGGCAGGCATGTAGCCAGCATTCGTTTGGACTTCCACTAAGAATGAATGGATTACATAAAACGAAATCTAATCATTTTGCTACTCGTAATATGATCACCCGCGTTTTGATTTTGTACGACGTGAAACGTAAGCAAAACACAGCACTGGAGTAGTCTGAAATGTCCTCCATCTCTTCGCCCCAACCCCGACGAAACGAGCGAAGAGACGGATGGCTTTGGAGTAAAAGGGTTTACATCGATCTCACCCGCACTCCATAAACTTCCGGATTTTTTATTCTCTGATCTTTTAGTGCCTCAAGTTACGTCATTTCCCCCCTTAGCTCCAGGGTTTCCGATCCGTTCGCATGAGCAAGAAACGTGGTCAGTGTTATAAAATGTACTGTAACCGCAGGAATTTATAGTTTTTATTATTTCATGCTTCCAAGATTTTTTGGCGCAATGCGACCAGGTGACGCTAACAGATCCCATAAATCCACCATTTCGAATTCCCTCTTAAACAAAATTGGACTTTTGGTTTATCAGCTACATAATCACTCAAGGATATTTGGGTCTGAATAAGCTTTGTTAAAGTTTAGATAATACAGAGGCAAGAAAACATAAAGAAACTCCCTTGCATGATGATTTTTACCGGTATGTGTTCTCGTCCGTGTTCTTACAAATTATAGAATTAACATTGTAAAGTTCCATCATTAAAATACTGATAACCACTAAACATATCATACTTATAAATATTATAGAACAAAAAAATCGTCCCTTGTTTCGATTTATTACTGAGGAAAAGCTATTATATTTTAGTGTGTCTGATCATACCTGATCAACCTATCCCAGAATAATAGGCACGAAATTAAAACAGGAGAAGCTCCATACAGCCCGATGTGACAAAGTTTCTTTCTGGTAATTAGCCATTTCGGAGTTGATTAGGGGACTGGGGCGAGTTTAAGCTAATCGATAAACTGACGGTCATGTTGAAATTGGTTATTTGACTAAGCCGGTTTGGCATGGTGCTCTTAAGTTGAACAGGAATCAAGTTATGACTTAAAACATGGTTAAAGATCCATACAAACGCTTGTAATGTTGTGACAGCGTTCCCCCAAACCATGTAAACTCTTTAAAATATTTTTCAGTTTTTCTGTTAAACTGTAAAATTCGTGATTCATCTACTACTTGGAAGGCGCTAATTCGAAAATTACTATGTTTGCCCATTATCAGGAATGTCCCAGAAATCATGAAAAAAATTAATTAATTTGACCAAACTCGGTCAAATAACTGATCTCAACATGAACTTTTATAATGGTGGTGTCAGTTTATCGATTAGTTTAAATTTGAACTCGCCCCAGTTCCCTACACAACTCCGAAATGGCGAATAAGAGAGGTATAAGGCTTACTGAACTAAGGGCCTGTTTACATGGAGTGAGGGACCCCCGACTAGTGGGGTTGGTTTCTTTTGTTTTCACGCTCTGGGGGACACAAAACAAAAGAAACTTACCCCACTAGACCGGGGTCCCCCACTCCATGCAAACAGGGTCTAAGTGTTCAGAAGGCTAGTAATATTTTAACAATACTGAATAATAATTAGGTGTAAATGCATAACGTTTTGCATAAAGTTACACTGACTATGTTTTTTTGTATTTAACTCGAAAGCAGGTGGAGGCTTTGTAATACACAAGGGTTCAGAGTTCAGCCTAACCACAGTGTTTTCTATAAGCTGACAGAAATAAATAAATAAATAATAAATATATATTGCTGGGGCGGCAATCGCAGACGTATCTCCCGCAGCGAGGGGCTAAAAGAGATGGCTACATTCACAAGCTAGGCGCATTTCGATCGTTTCTGTTTAAAAGGGCGCATCCTAGAATTTTTTATTGGGGGGGGGGGGGGTCCAAACTTTGGTTCAGAAAGGACTTTTGAATTTTTTTGTGGCAAATTACATCTTACAACCACGTGTTTCTAAATCTGTGAACACCGGTCGCCGTTCACGCGGGAAAAACTGCTTTGTGAGCAGGGGCCAGCAGATCACAGGCGGGTACCCAAAAACAATTACGTTTTTGAATATCCCTGGAATTTAGTTAGTGGCAAAATGGAACGTGCGTTTCATTAAAAAATCAGCCAGTTTCGATGTAACAATTTCAGTCTCAAACAAGCGTCAGGTCTGATGGGGGGCTCCGGACCCCCTGGACTCTCCCCCCTGGACACGCAACTGGTTTTTCCTTCAGCGGCCCTGGAGGCCCAGTGTCGTGCAGTGTCCTCTTTTGTTTTTGCCACAGAATGGACTATAATGGGGTATGGGTCTGAGAGGCCAGCGGCACATATCCATCAAAAGTTAAACCAAGTAACCCCCTCCTTTTGGTTTGATTGTTAATCATGGTAATCCGTGCTTCTGTAATTTTCTTATCCACTGTCTATGCTGATGCTGTCAAGGTAAAGCCTTTTAGGAATCGCTTCTTTGCTCCTGCGTGCGTAGCCATGAGGAACGCGTTCGAGAAACTTTACCTCATTACATAGCGTGTGATGTTCAATGCTGAGAGCGTTCTCGGAAACGGCAGTGGTCTGGGTTGTGGAGATTCGTATATCAATATTAAGGCCCTTGACTCTGTCTCTGTCTTCATTCTCACCCAACCGTGAACTTTATATCGCATTCAGAGGGAATCCTGTGCAAACCACGCCATCAAGTTTAGCCTAGTCATCAGCGTCTTTGGACCGAACTAGATGTGAACTAAGTTCTGTTATCTTCGACTTGAAAACAGCGACGCCTTATTGTCGTAGGCAGGGGAGAGGTTATTCACAAAAAAATAAGTGAATTTAAACCAGGTGCAGGCCCAATACTGATGCTCGGTTTCTTGGTGCTGGTCCTCTGCAGAAAAAGAATAAGGATTAATAGTTAAATTAAGGACAGATAAAATGTTACTCCGTTTCTCCTTGGAGATAACAGAAAGCTGCCGGTTAAGACGCTTAACAATACCATGGGTGTTTCCCATTTGTCAGAACTGACCGGCCACTGTAGGCCATTCCCGACCACATGAGAAACCTCAATTTTAATCAAACTATCCAGCCAGATCAGTCAAATCCCAAATAGCATACACAAAAGAGATGGGGAGTTTTTTAGTAAACATTCTTGGAAAGGCCTATTTCATTGTCAATGCCCGGGCCGGCCAGTTTGATGATTTCGGTTGGTGTGAGTCATACGCTAAACCTGACTCCATCAGTGTACGCACAAAGCTTCCTTTATATAAAGGCGATGTAGGGGATCATTACTTGAAAGTACTCGTCAAGATCTAAAAGGAAGGCGAGTTTGTTGCCACTCTTTGCCTCCATGGTGAAGAGAATGGAAAAGACGCTGGTTATTCGGATGCTGTAAGAAGCTATCGACGCTTCCGGGATCCAAGATCGTGAGGGTGTCAAGATCTTGTCTAGGTAGCACTTCCAAGGTTCTTTACTTTTAGTATGATGTAGTTTTTGCCTGTTCTTGGATATGACCAGTAACAGCGGAAACCGTACTCCTCATGGCTGTTCCTTCTCGTTTTTCATAAATTGCTCCGTTAGCCTGGAAGTAATTTGATCTTGATAGGAAAGTCAGGAGAACAGCAATCTGAGCAGGGATACATCGTCGCTCTGCAAGGCTGCGGTCGTTCTCCAGAGCTGCCATCAGAGCAGCGTCGACTCTACATCGAAAGACACTATGAGCTCGTTTACTAGGATCGTCTTACTGATGATGATGGATACTACAAAAGCTGAATTACTGAACGCGAGGTCCAGTAGTTTAACCTGTTAATCACAGGAGACAACATTTTAGTAAAGCAAGAGTATTAATCGTATGGAAAAGTATGGAAAAGTGTTATCTATCTATCTATCTATCTATCTATCTATCTATCTATCTATCTATCTATCTATCTATCTATCTATCTAACCCATAACAAAGCAGGCAGATTGGCCTACTAAATCTTAGTTAAACCGTTATCAACTGAGTTAATAGGAATGTGAAAAGAATAAAAAGCAAATGTTTAGAGCGCAGGCCCTTCATCAGATTAAGGAGCTGACAGACTGACAAGTTGGCAGGCTGAGAAGCTGATTGGTGAACAAACCGACGGGCTGACAAGGTGACAGACTGTCAGAGTGAAAGGCGGGCTGCCTGACCGTCTGACAATCTGGCAAGCGGTCCGGCTGACAGATTGAAAGATTGTCAGGAATACGGGCTGACAAATTGGCAGAGTTGTTTGGCTGACAAAATGACAGGCGAAGAGTCGCACAAGCTAACGAGCAGACAGGCTAGCTTAGTGATCGGCTACAATTTCAGTAGGCTGACAAATCGATGAGCATGTCAAGCAAATTGACAAGCATGTCAGTTTGTCTTTGACAAAATGACATGCTGACAAGATGACAGAATATAAAAGTGAAAGGCGGGCTGTCTGACAGGCTGCCAATCTGGCAAGGGGTCAGGTTGACAGATTGAAAGGCTATCAGGAGGACGGAGGCTGACGAATTGGTAGATTGACGACAGAGCTGTCGGGGTGTTAAAATAACAGGCGAACAGTTGCACAAGCTAACGAGAAGACTGGTTTAAAGGCCGACCTTTCGTTAGGTTGACTTACTGACAAGCTTACAAACTAGATGCAAATAGGTTAATAAGTTGAGGAGCTGTAAAGCTGACCTTGCTGTTTTCTATCTTCCCTCGGAGTGTCCGTTTTGGAAGTGGTAACCTGTAAAGACACAAAACACATTAAAAACCAAAAGAACAAAATAAACAAATAATTCATTTAATTCATTTATTAGTCAAATAGCTATTTAATTACTTTGTTTCGACAGAAAAAAAATTGACTTTTTGTCGGCTACAAAAAGCGTGTTCGTTAAAGAATGAGGTTGTTTTGATATGGCAGGATCGCGGTCAAAGCACTTACCCCACCATGCTGGGTTATCTTTCCTAAAACGACCACAATACCCACAATATAATTAAGTCAAATTTTCATTGCTTTGCTTCGAAGATTGGTGATAAAGTGAGAAACTCCGGCTATTTTGGCACTTTGACAGGTAATGATGAATGGAATGATTTGTAGTGATATTTGGCATAAATACCACTCACGAGTGATATTTCAAAATTGTTGTAGGTAATTTCACGAGCTGTTATGCGAGTGAAATTTGAGACAATGTTGAAATATCACGAGTGCTATTTATGCCAAATGTCACCTACAAATCATGCTATTATTTGTTTATTAACTATTACCGAAATGTAAGAGAATATCACTTAATTTTCGAGCCTTCAAATCTAAACACAAAATAGAAAACACAATTATGACCCAAACAAACCTGAGTTGTGACAACAGCTGGTGTGCCTGCGGTTACGTTTTCTGCTTGAGTGGTTGTTCGACGAGTTGGTATGGCTGCGGTGCTGGTTATTTCAACAATTGGAGGTGGCAAAGTTGCGGATTGGTTTAACGGTGTGTGTTGAGGTATTGGACCTAAACATTTTTAAAGATAGTACGTTTAGATTTAATCCACCATAATCAATGTGGTGCCCATGTTTCGTTGCTAGAAATTTATATCAAGTTGTTTTGGCAATTTACAAGTTAGGCGCAATCTCCTTTGGTACCGTTGTTGTGGATCAACAGAAGAAAAGGAGCTATTCACAGTGGTAAGCTGAGTATAGTGATTATCGTCAAGATCCCGGTCCACTGAGTGAACAGTGAATAGTAGTGAAACAAAAGATTAAATGCCTACAGGTAACGTTTCTAGTCTCTGTGGAAACAGCCCAATTTTGCAAATGGTTATATCATTTAGTGCTCATTTTATGCAACGCTTGACCTTTTTTCTTTGCTCGTTTGCCATTAAATTTTCAATCAGTTTGATTTTAGAGGTCTTACACTGTATTCTGCCTTGAACCTTGAACATAACGCAGGTGCTGTCGACTGTGTTGTTATGTAAATGGCGACACTGTACTGCGACTCTAAAGATCCGACCAGGGTTCGAGAGAAGGAAAGATGAAACGTTGACTCTTGTCTAGAAAGGAAAAAAGAAATGGAACGAACTATCAGCAGCTAGCTAAAAATACTGCAAATCTGTTAAGCTGCATTTCTTGTTGTTGTTTGTTTGTTTGTTTTTTCTTTCGAGTTGGTTTGTTAGTTACGCGATTTAATAGCTGAGCAGTAAATCTGTTAAGCTGTCTTTGCTTTGATTTGTTTGTCTATTGTAACAGTTTATTTGTTTGTTTGATTGTTTCATAAGACATCTTTTTATAACATGGAAATTAGGTCGCTACAAGGTGGACTAGTCTATTACTTAAATCCCTTTGCCGTTTTTTGTAATGACGGGTTGTCGTATAAACAAGAAGTCCGCGAATACAGCCGCCTTTCATGGCTGCCTGTCGATTGAAACGTTTCGCGAGCGGCAGGAAGCCGACGAGAGGTGAGCGGTTGTATTCGCAGGCTATTTAACAAGGAGTCGTAGAATAAGGAAAAATGACATGGAGCCGAGATCATGCATGTTGTGGAGAAGGTCATAAATGGCGGTTGCTACTGCACCATTTACAGAAATGTCAACAAGCTAACAACATAACATAAAATAAACTTTATTATTATATAGACACCAATGAAATACTCGGTGAACTTTCGCGCGAAAACTTGATATCTTCACTTGTGAAAATAACATGTTATCTTCACATGTGAAAATATCACCTTTGCTATGGCTACATAATAAATCGTGCCTTTCACACCAAAAAACTATTAAAGTGAAATGGTTTGATATTTCATTGATGTTTAAAAATATTTCATTAGACTGCAAAACAGTCCGTATTTTTGCGTATTCAAGTACGCGCGAGCAGTCAAACGAGGCTGAAAACATGGAGCGAGACTGGGGAGAGACGCTAAAAATACTAACTAACGGTTTTTTTTCTCTCGCCTCACAGGCCCTACGGGCGTGTGAGGCTCGCGCGCTTCGCGCGCGTAAGACTCTTACGCCACGCTTTACCGATTTCTTTACTGATTTTGAGAAAAAAACCGACTGTTTTGCAGTCTAATATTTCATTGGTGTTGAAAAATATTTCACTCGTTCGCTGCGCTCACTCGTGAAATATTTTTCAACACTCGAAGAAAAATTTCGTATCTCCGCGCGGCCATGTAATATCCTCTATTTTACACTCGAATTTTAGAGTAGCTAATATCTTCGAGCTGACACTACGTGAAAATAGTATAGAAATATATATATATATATATATATATATATATATATATATATATATATGTATACATTAAATGCATTATAAGTATTAATAATAAAATAATATTAATGATAATAAGCGCATTAAAAAAAAGAAGAGAAAAGAAAATATTAGTTACAATTCACAATTTTAAGTTTAAGTATGTCAGGCAAAAATAATCTACATGAAGGTAACATCCTGTATTTTGGTCTTAAATCTGCAAAAAAACTGGTACGAGAAAAGTCCGGCAGTGTATTCCACTGCTTAGCTGAAAAGTAAGAAAAGGAGTTAAGACCGGACCATAGATAGTTGTTTTAGGTTTACTTAGTGAAAGAATGTAGTTGCCACGAAGATCATAGGAAGAGGACCGAGGACCGCAGTGAAAACATATTCTTCATATAAGCAGGAAAATGAGTGAAAGACAAACTCTTGTATAACAGTATGAGGAAATTTTGAACGCGTTTGTTACACAACTAAGTAGAGTTGACTTTTGAGAGAAGAATGTCGTATGGAGACGAGTAATCTCCAAGTATAAATCTGAGTATTCTTTTATTTAAAGCTTCAAGCTTATCCGCATCGTGCGCTCCACAAAAGTACCTGCAGACAGAGGAGCAATAATAAAAATGAGATAAAATATACGCTTTGTAACGTCTGAATAAGATTTTCCTGCGTATGAGTATTCGAAAGCGCAACATAACATTAAATTGATTATTAACCGATCTTTTTATATACATTTCATATATGTTTAGAAAAATTCAGTTTATTATCTATTTCCATTCCAAAAATAAATCTTGTCCCTAGGCGTTTTCGGCAAGGTCAAACTTGGACTCTACCGCGAGTTGTGAGGGCACCGAACTAGAGAGACACGCCTTCACCAGACTTTGCGCAGGTAACCGGCTGGGCAAGAGAGAACGCCTTGGGCATAGGCTGTCACAAAGCGTGTTCGCATTAAGTGTGATTCAGTACCCTTAATACCCACCGCGAGTTGCAGCTGACTTGTGTTCCAACCAGGGGTGACCTCCAAACTCTCATTTACACTGTTTGATGATATCTCCTTCCAGGCTCCGTCGCAACCAATGTAATGTGCGTAGAGGTTCTCCCCAAAGTAAAAGCTGCATGTTTTCTTGTCAGGGACGTTGATGGTTTTCTTAGTAACACCCGTTGAGGGAATAAAAATTAATGCGCTCTCAGCTGTCTTGCCCGTGAAAAGTAAATCACATCCTAAAATGAAGAAGAACGACGATGTTATTTCCATAAAAAAAAAAAAAACATTAAGTAGGCATATTTCCCAATCGATTCATGAATGCGCGATAGCCTCTCCAATACTTACTCAGACTTTAGAAAATCAAAATTACAAAAGTTTGTACCCATGATTAGTATAGGTAATAGCATGATTTGTAGTGATATTTGGCATAAATAACACGAGTAATATTTCATAATTGTTGTACGTAATTTCACGAGCTGTTAAGCGAGAGAAATTTGAGACAATTTTGAAATATCACGAGTAACATTTATGTCAAATATCACTTACAAATCACGCTAATATTTGTTTATAATACTACCAATTTGTGATTTTTACATGCAGGTATTTCAAATTAAGCTGAAATACCACTGCTCTAAGCCAATCAAATTGCAGAAATTTCTCATGTATTAGTATAACACTCGAAACAACAACAACAACATTAATTACTAGTAATAACCAAAGGTTATGGAGTGTGGGGGACAACGATCGAAGGTCAAAACGCTTTTGCTCCAACGCTGTGCTTTGCGTAAGCTTCACGTGAGAGAAAGTCAAAACACGCGTGATCAAGTCAGGAGCGATAGAAGGTCCAAACGTGCGTGATCAAACTGCGTTCTGTTCATTCCATTCATTCTTAGTGGATGTCCAAACGAATGCTGGCTATACATACTGGCATGCGACGCGTGCGTAAAAACAACCTGGAGATTAGGATTGCGGGCTCCTCTTGTCGCCCGCAATAATAATAATAATAATGATAATAATAATAATAATAATAATAATAATAATAATAATAATAATAACAATAACAACAAATTCACGGAAGAGGAGGCGATAGACGAATGCATACTCATCAATTGTGCATAAGACTCTTAGCAATAGACAAGTCCATTTTACAGTTACAAGTGGAAACGAGGCTGGAGTTGACCAGTGTTTGGATAAAACCCTTCCTCTTTTAGAGGAAGAAAGGTTTGCTGCATATTAAATTGACCTCGTTTGCTACGATTACCAGCTGACTGTTGGGCAGTAAAAATCCCTCCCCCCCCCCCCCTCTCCAATGTACTAAAAAGGCATTTAGATGCTAAAAAAATGTGTGTGTGATTTTCACACAAGTCTCAACTTTGCCCCATAATTTACTAACATGGTCCATAGTCGGACTGCTCATCACGCCTTTCCCCAGAGCCGATTTCCTTGCACGTCCGAAGATTGGGTGAATACGCCAAATATAGATTGTCGGGGAAACGAAATAATTTAGTGCCGGAATTCTATGTCCTATTGCTTTTACTTAGACCAGAGAACAAGTGTTACTAAGATATAAAAAACCTTAAGACGAAATATGACGGAAGAAAGTCCGAAAGCATGGTGTTGAACGCTTTGCAATAAACTTCTGATTCGGCATACAAAAGGGAAAACATAACAGTAAAGTGACTCTTCACTAGAATTGATCGCCATGCAGCATTTACTTCTTCACCGCTTCAGCTACATCTAAGCAATTGCGGTTGTTTTCAGTGAGTCAGCGCTCTTAATTAGCTATTTCACGAGCTTGCTTCACCATCCATAGATTGAGGAAAAAGGAGTCTTCCAACTCCACTGCCTTCCCACGGAAACCTCTGCTTCTATTAAATTTTCCGTTCCAAGCAAATTTGATATTTTGGCCAACGGTAAACAACCAAAGAATCCATAAAATGTTGGTGTTTGCTGATTTATAAATAAAAGTTTAAAATAAGAACTTTCCCTGATATTAAAATGATGACCTTAAAGTATACACTGATGGCCTTTCATCAGAATATTCGTTAAGAGTTGGTACCTGTGTGTAATAAATAATTTAATAATAAATTTCAAAAAATAAATCTAATCAGTAGGGTATATTAAATGACTAGTGAAATCACAAATTGAAAGACTCCATTTTAGTGCTCGCTGATTTATGGATAAAAGGGTAAAATAAGAATTTACTCTGATATTGAGATGTTGACTGAGTATTCGCCGATTACCTGTCATCAAAATATTCGTTAAGAGTTGGTACGCGTGTGTATAATACATGAACATAATGAATCCAGTCAGTATGATATGTTAAATAACGAGCTCAATTACAAATTGAAAGAGTGATTTGGTAGAAAAACAAATAAATGATAATGAATAATGATACTCATAATCATAAACATGATGAACGCCATACTTTTTTATTCACTGAGATTGAAACAAAATTCTGTGCACAAGTTAATGACATAAGCATTTTAGCCCCCGTTATTATAGGCGGGCACTTGTATTATGTTGTTGAAGAGCCTGAACGTATTAACGTATTATTGTGTTGTTTCGTTTTAAACCCTTTCATTTGGCACAAACTAAAATACACGAGGAACGAAGATTGCGCACAAAGATGCAAACTTGCTTTTAAAAGGAAAAATCTCGTACACCGCACAGGGCTTACAACGAGTAGCTTCTGTACAGCATCAATACTTCAATATCTTAATTAGAATAAAATAATTAAATTAATTGACCTAAAAATCGCGAACCTAGTAAAGTACTAAAACTTGCCGATGCAACTTCCTTCGTCATAACGATTTGTAAAAACTGAAATAAAAAAAAAGTGTACTATAATTTTTAAAGCAATCGAGGTAATCAACTGGTTTAATTTTTAAAGTATGTATATTTTAAAAGTGTCAGATATTGAGATATTTTAGATCAGAGAGAAAAGAGTTAGGATACAGCTGTTCTCCTTGGTGTACAGCTGTATAAGAACAAATTCCTTGGATAGTGAAAGGGTCTAACCATGACATAGGAAGCAAAAAGATTGTCGCTCTTCAAATTCCTTGATCATTTCAAGAAAAATTGAGATATTGCTATAATACGTTTTTCCGGATGAAAAATTGCCTTTCAAATAAGTAATCAAAAAAGGATTTTAATTTACTTTTTCGTTTGTACAATTTATACAGGTGACAACAATCAATGGATTTTCTAAAGAATGTTGTGGTGTAATTTAAGCAAATTAGCGGACAAAATGGTAAAGAAGCTCCCTAGAGAATTTCAATAACACTACTCGGTGACTGAAGATTGTCATGCGTTTGATAGAAACTAACCTAAATTTGATCTACATATTGTAAATTTCACTTGACTGCTGCATGCTTGGCAGACCAATAGCAACAGACCAAGGGCCAGATTTTGACATAATAGCTCTACCATCAATAAAATCCATTCCCATACAATCATTTTCTACAATACAGCGAGCAAGTTAACTTTAAAGGAAATATATATCCTTGCCTTTGTATTAAGTGACGGATTTCACGATTCCAGAAATTGAATCTGCGAAACATACGTTCTGGTTAGAAAAACCAAATTGAATACTAGCTAAATCGATCCTCCTTTAGACATTTGTTTGTCACCTGGGACAATCGGATAGTTAATATTTTGCAAACTTTGTAACTTAAATTAATGAGAAGACATTAATTAAAAGGTAATGTAATTATATAAGTAAGCGCACCAAATGAAACTAAGTTACCTGATCTCTGACGAGCCAAGCTGACCTTCATGCAAGAATTGGTCGGTTCAAAGAAAGTGTACTTTTCCCCTGCGGGTCTGCCACATTTACACCAACAACCTCCGAGAATCTGAGCGTTATATTTACTGCATGAAGGAGATACATTATTATTTCCGTCAACAGGGCATTCAGCAGTATTTCTGGGCAGTAGAAAGTCGTCCTCTACCGTGAATGTCTGATCAACCCTGTAGATTACCACAGGTGACTGAGCATGGACTGAATTCAAGCAGTAGAGCGCAATCAAATAGGGGACAAACGTGGCCATGATAGTTTAAGAGAATTCTAACTGTTTCCAAAGGCAAACAGCCTGTAAGATAAATCTGTCAATAGCGCTTCTGAAAGTACAATTCGTCAGATAAATCCAGACAGGAGAGAGAACACAGTCAAATCAATAAAAAAAAAACTCTTCGAATGTGGTGATTTTCACAAAATGTTAAGACTTCCTCTCGCTAGAATGAATGCTTCCATGCGAGCTACGAATTCCTGCTGAAGATTCGTGGAGCCGCAGAAACCATAATTGAAACTGAATATTGAGTCGAAGGGTTTATATTTCAGTTCCTCCTCGCTTTAATAAACATATATGGGCGCTTTTTCCGGAAAATTTAACCAGGGCACATATTGATATTGTTTTCCAGTATCTGAGTAGATTACAAACAATATTTGCGTCAGCCAGGCAACGCAAATGACTCAATGGCTTTAACAGCAACCACAAAAAGTTTACCTGAGACAGTGCTGTCTTACCACATTGTGTAGGGCTAGAGACATTACTGTTAAAAGTGAGGTGTAGGTTGAGGAGAACTTGAGAGTTGTCATTAGTATAAGACAAATTACAAGAAGATGAATTCACTCACATCAAGAGGGGTTGGAAAATGTCCTCATTCTGGCACTTAAAAGAAAATGTCAAAGGACATGATCTAAAGCAAACTCCGTTCTGTGAAATAGAAAAACGGATAAGTTTTTATTTTGAACAATTTCCAGCTTAATAAAAGTTCCTGAAGCATCCGAAAACAAAAAGCAAAATTTTTGTCCCCAGTTCGGAAAGGAATCGTGTCTTACTGCGAGTGTGGGAAAATAACGTGCATTCTTTTTAACTTAATTCTCAATAGAACTGACAGAAACACATGAAACTGAGCACACACGCTGTAACTCAGACTGAAGTGCTACTTTGTACAAAACAATGAAAAAATGGCAGTGTGTGTCACGTTTTTTTTGGTAGTTTACTTTCAAGACTGGAGACTTGATATATCCACACACAACAAAAGGATCTCGTTTCATATGTAAACTGCTTGAATTGGATTTCTGGTTTGCAAACAGGTGACAAAATAACGAGGCCATGTTGGTGGAGAAGATGACCCTTTTCTTTTAAATCTATTTTTTTTTCGCAGAACCAATGTAAAAAATATATTTAAAGACTTTGTAAGCGGCGCATGATTTACCATCACTTTTAAGTAAGCACATACATTAGACATTTATTATATAAAAAAGTTATTATATTTTTGAGGAATCGACAGAGATAAAAAATCAGACCCTCTACTTTCAGACAAGTTTGTCCGTTACTGAGGTCTCTATCTAGTGTGTTAAGTGGATCTTTTGCTAATAACGTTCACACATCACCACTCTCCCCAAGAATGAGGTTTGCCGCAATCCTAATCTCAAGGTTGCTATTACGCATGTGCGGCAGGCATGTATAGCCAGCATTCGTTTGGACTTCCAAGAATGAATGGATTACATAAAAAGCAATCGGATCATTTTACCACTCGTAATATGATCACCCGCGTTTTGACCTTGTACGGCGTGAAACTTAAGCAAAACGCAGCACTGGAGTAGTCTGAAATGTCATCCGTTTCTTCGCTCCACCCTCTAGGGGGAAGAGACAGATGACATTGTACTGGAGTACATTAAAACGTTAACATCGATCTCACACCTTCCCCCGTGGGGCGGCGGGGGTGAAGGCCACATATGGGCTACATATGTATGTGCCGCTGTGAAGGGTATGGTTTTCAAGCAGTTAACTCTAGGATATCGTATATAAATCAGAGAGTTTGGGTCTAGAAAAGGGTATCATTTTCCAAGAAACTAATCAATTGGTTGAAGATCTTAGTATAGACTAGGGAAATCGGGAATTGCCACTCAAAAATATAAAAATATCAAATCAGATTCGTTTTGGCTGTGCTAGTTACCTCAATAGTTTCTGGAAAACAGCTACTCTAGGATAGGGGGAGTTTGGAGAGTTTAGTCTAGTACAGGGTAACAAAATTCACTTGAACTAGCTCTGGTATAGGCTAAGGGATCCAGGGTCCCAGCGGCACATCCCCACCTAAAAGTTCCCAAAGTATCCCACCCCGGTCTCACCCGCACTCTTTAAGCTTAGGAATGTTTTTATTTTCTGACCTTATAGTGCCTCAAGTTAATTCTTTTTCCCATTCAGGGTTACCGATCTGTTCGCATGAGCAAGAAAAGCGGCCATTGGTATAAAATGTACTGTAACCACAGGAATTCTCCTAGTTCGTTTTTTATGCTTTTAAGATTTTTTGGCGCAATGTAACCTGGGTAGCAAGCGTTTGCAATGCGACCAGGTGACGCTAACGGATCGCATAAATCCACAATTTTGAATTCCCTGGTAAACAAAATCGGACTGTTTGGTCAATCAGCTACATAATCATTCAAGCATATTTGAATCTGGATAAGCTTTATTAAAAAAATGTGACCATTGAGGAATTCTCATAGTAACAGATTCTCACCGGGAGCTCCCACTCGCAAACGCCCCAAGGGAGAGATGAGTTATGGGAAGAGGCGAGCCTGGAGGCGGGAAGGAGCGGGAGCTAAGGCGCCAGAGTGTGCCATCGCTCCGGGGAGATGGGTGGAGCGACAAACTAGGTGTCTGACAAGTGTCCGTTTTAACGAAAAGAGCAACAAACAGCATGAAAACAGGTCAATTTATACTAAACTCACAAATATATGCCCAACGAGTTCCCCCGCGGATCCACAGATGCGCTGGAATTTAAATGCACGGGGCACAGAGAGCGTTAGCGCGTGACGGATCCCAGTGAGAATCGTTTACATGTTATGTTTTTCAGGTTTTTTGGCACAATGTAGCCTGCGTAGCAAGCGTTAACAATGCGACCAGGTGACGCTAACGGATCCCATAAATTTACCATTTCGAATTTCCTCTTAAACAAAATTTTCCTCTGCCTTTATTTTAAGTATTTTTGACCTCGCAACTTTAAAAAATTATATCTCTGCTTTTATTCACAGTTCCATATAAAGCCATACCTCCTTGGAAAGGCCAAAAATTAAACTTTCAAAAAATATATATTTTGCTCTCAGGAAAGCCATAGTATTTCGCAAAAAAAAAAAAAAATAATAATAATAATAATCAAAGCATATTCCTGCATAATTATTTTAAGAATTTTTTAAGAGTGTTATTTTGACAGGAAAGTTGTCTATTTTATGTAACACAGTACAAATAATTTTTTTATTCAATATCTAAGCAAAAAAGCCCGAATATCGGTCGAAAATATAGAGCGACTAACAATTTTATACAAAATTTATTTTGTGACCCTATCGGATTATGCAACTGAGACCAGAGCTAATTAGCATAGGGAAGCTAGATATTGTAACGTCACCTCGTGGCCTGATATTTACTTTCGAAAGACGCCTAAGCAAGGCTTTGAAGGCAAAAAGCCAAGAGGGACGGATTTCACTGCGTTTCAACAGAATGTGTGCTAGACTCGGCGAATTTAAAGTAAAGACTCTTACTGTTCTCTTACCTCAATTTTCGCGTTTATTTTGCTTGTTATCCTCCAGAATCCTTCCCCTTCCAAATAATTTGCTTGACTTTTATTTGGTCGAAATTCGTCGATACAAGGTTTCATTCTTCGCAAAACCTGCAAAACCCGCAACAAAATCCTTCCCGACGGGACCGCCATTTTTACTACATTTAAATGAAAATATCGTTACGTGAAGCTCAAAACTCCCCGGGGGCTGGAACTAGGCAAATAATTGGCTAAATATTCCTGTGGGCCAAATTTGGGGGGAATCGGAAGTAACGCAATTTTTTGCGATTTTTTTTTCGTCAAAGGTCCTGCAGGAAATTTTTTTGCTTGAAGCAAAGATAAAGAGTTTAACAAAACTGAACTGTTTGGTGAATCAGTAACATAATCACTCAAGCACATTTGAATCTGGACAAGCTTTATTAAAGTTTAGATAATACAGAGGCAAGAAAACATAAAGAAACTCTTTTGCATTATTATTTTACTTGTATCTGTTCTCGTCCATATTTATATTATCTCGTAAATATGTTATGCTTAGTATCGTAGAAGAAAAGCTTCCCTAGTTTCGATCTATTACTGAGAAAAAGCTATTAGTGTGTCTGATCATACCTGATCAACTAATCCCAGAATAATAGGCACGAAATTAAAACAGGAGAAGCTCCATACAGCCAGATGTGACAAAGTTTCTTTCTGGTAATTAGAGAGGTTTTAGGCTTATTGATCTACGTGTCCAGAAGGCAACTAATTTTTTAACAATACAGAATTATAATTAGGTGCCAAATGCGTAAAGTTATAACTAGGTAGTTTTGTATTTAACTCGAAAGCTGGTGGAGTTTTTGTAAGAAAAAGAAAATTGATCATGCTTCAGGGCGCAGCCTGACTGCACAATATTCTATGAGCTGATGAAAATAAAGCGCCTTCAAGGAGGGTCCCCAATAGGGTTCTTCAATCCCGTTATACCACTACATGAGAAATTTCTGCAATTTGATTGGCTTAGAGCAGTGGTATTTCAGCTTAATTTGAAATACCTACATGTGAAAATTACAAACCTTTTGCGGGTAGTGGTATAAACAAATAATAGCATGATTTGTAGGTGATATTTGGCGTAAATACCACTCATGATATTTCAACATTGTTTCAAATTTACGTAAAACAATTTTGAAATATCACTCGTGGTATTTATGCCAAATATCACTACAAATCATGCTATTACCTATACTAATCCCGACCTAAGATTTCGAGCAATCCCGTAATTCCGAGGGCTATTTTTGGCATCCCACCTCCCGCGCGTACTTTTAATCCCGAATCCCTCCCTGATTTTGCTGTAAAATCCCGAATCCCGAGCTTCAAACTAGGGAAATCCCGTATCCCGGAAAACCTATTGGGCACCCTCCTCAAGGGAAACCCGTCACGCTGCAATTTGTGCCTTTCCGAGAAACTCTGTATCTTGACTGCCCGCGCTGCTCTCCTAAATAGGGAGCTTTAGCATCGACGACGGCAACGGCAGCGAAAACGTCAGTTTTATAATGAATTCCCGTTTTTTCAATCTTTTTCTCGTTTATTCCAATTTACTGAAAATGGCAAGTGCAGGCGAATTTCCCTGGAGTTGATTTCTTGAGGACCGCGCTCAAGTTTAGAGAGAGAAAAAGAGATTCGTCGTCGCTTGTTTACGTCCTCCATAAATGTACAAAAATGAAACAGAAATGTACAAAAAAGCGTGATGCACGTGCAAAGTTGTTGTTTTGCGTAATAAACCTATTGCTTTTTTGACGTCCTGGTTGCCGTTGCCGTCGTCGTTGCTAAAGCTCCCTAATAAATGATCTGAACTGGTAACCAAGAGTCGTCACGAGAACAAGTAGTACACCCTCCAAAATCGTGCTGCCAGTATAGAAAGCATTGATATATACATTCACGTATTTGTGACTACAGCTGGTGTGCCTGTCGTTATATTTTCTGCCTGAGCGTTTGTTGGACGAGGTGGGAGGTCTGTGGCGGTGGATATCTCCACAGTTGGAGGTGGTAAAGTTGCGGATTGGTTTAACGGAGCCTTTTGAGGAATTGGACCTAAAAAAAATTATTTATAGAAAGTTACGTTTAAAACAACCTCTGCATTCGTTTTGTAGCTTACCGTATCAATAAAAGGCCATTTGTACGATGGCGTCTTAGTCCTACTACCAGAATCCATTTCTCTTTTTCTTCCGCATTAAATCTGGCAACAAGGATTAAAACAACGAAAGCTCTAGTTCGCACGAGAAAGCAAGACACTGAAGCATTTTGGTTGTTTTAATGAAATGACGTTATTTTGCAAATGGCCTACAGAGGTCTATTACTAAGTGATGGTGAAAACGTCCTTTCAGGAACTTTCAAGTTGTTTGCCTGGGTAGAAGAAAAGCTAGCGATTCAGTTAAACACTGTGATTATTGTTGCAAAGATTGGATCAACCTAGGTTTCTGGGAAACTGCCCAGCTACCCGTCCCATAAGCTAACATTAACACTTACTTCTCACTTAGGGCAAAATGTCGGCTTAGGGGAGGGGTAGGTGAACAGTTTCACAGAAACCTAAATTGATCTCAAAGCCCTCTGGTCCATGGGTAGTGAAAATGAATATCAAATATCACGGCTGTCTTAAAATAGCATCAAGGACAGGATATTAAATAAATACAGTCCCCGACAAATCTTGCCAGCATTTTAAAAGACTTTTATACATTAATTGGCATAATTTGAGAGTAGATTCAAATCAAATTAATTTGCAGGTGAGTTTATTTTTTGAACAACCCGACATTTTCGAGACTTTGCATTTTGTTGCCCTTTAAAGGGTTTTCTTTCCATTCAGGTTACTATAATATTTTCAAAAGCGATTATTTGCTTTTATATTTAGAACATGTGTGTTCACGAATATTTATTAAAGATCTTACATTGTATTCTGCCTTCAACCTTGACCATGACACAGGTGCTGTTGGCGAAAGCCTTTTCACGTTGATGGCGACATTGCACTGCGACTCTAAAGATCCGACCCGGGTTCTTGCGAAGAAAAGATGAAGCGGTATCTCTCGTCTTGTAAGGTAAAACAATATTTACTATCACAGTACAATATTTACTATCACAGTACAGAAAAAATGTTAGTGGGATGTTTTCTGTGGATGTCCCATTTTAATAATTATAGAACTATTATTACCCTCGGTCGTACAAGGTGGGAGAGGGGGGGTGATTTTTGTTCTAGACGATGAAACATCAGCACCTGAACTTTTCTGTAGCTGTTCGTTTATCCCTCCAGCGCTACGGAGACACGTTTAGTGATGGTCAGTTACTATGGTTACGAGATATGACGTCATAAGTAGAAGGTGGTCAAGCCATTTTGAGTGAAAATGCATGTTTTTTCAACTTTTTTCAACAATAGGAGTAAAACTTGTGGATAAAATGAATTTATTTATGTGTTATTTCACAAGTTAAGCGCAAAAAATACTAATTCTCACTGTTTTTACCTGATTTCTAATTCTTGATAAAATCCAAGATCGGCCAAGATGGCGACCATGTTTGGTGACGTCATAGACCTCCAGCAGCGCCACCACCCATAAAATATACCTCATATTGTAGAGAAGATCAAAGGCTTCCACTGAAGGCAAAATCGTTTCGAAATACTGCCACATATCAAAACTCAAGGGGAGGGGTCCATCAACCCACGGTGGGGGTATGACTTTGCTTGTACGTCCGAGGGGTAGGGTGTTCTAGCCTTTCTAAACTGAGCAATCAAACCGTTGGATATAAAAAATGTAACTTCTCTTCAGTCGTAGTAACAGGGTTATCGTATTCTTGAACAATATTTTGGACTGAAGAAATGACTGGTCTATTGTTTGCACCGGGAGAGAAAGGTGGTGATAAGAAGTTGGTAACATGTGGACAGCAGCAGCTATGCCAATTTATTGGAACAAAGGAAAGTTTTTACATAAAAAAAACGGTTCAAATCCCAGAATATTGGTCTGGAACAAGAACAAGGCCATTAATTTATTACTTTACTACACCAATATCGCGTTGGTGTGACGTATCTACAGTAAGATGTAACAATGCATTATCATTAAACCCAACCTTATACCTTGAATTGAAGTTGGTTTTTGTTCCAACCAGGAGTGACCTCTAAACCCTCATTTACGCTTTTTGGTGGGATCTCCCTCCAGGCTCCGTCGCAACCAATGTAATGTGCATAGAGTTTCTCCCCAAAGTAAAAGGTACATGAGTTGTCAACGGGTACGTTGATGGTCTTTTGAGTAACACCGGTTAAGGGAATAAAAGTTAAGGCACTGTCCGCTGTCTCACCAGTGAAAAGCAAACTACATTCTGTGGCGAAAAAAAATGTATGAGATAGTCCAAGGAATGCATGAAATAAAATAATAGCAAAGACCTTTATACCTGGTAAAGTGACTAGACAGTCATTGCGGCTCTTAAAAAAAAAAAAAAAACCTTTAATTTTATTGGACCTATAATGTAGCAACCACGGCCAGTAGTTTAGGGCTAACCCAAGGTCATAGTTGACTTATTTATTCATTTATTATTGTTTTCCCAACCAATCCTGTGAGCCCTTATACTGGAATAAACTTCCGCAATGGAAAAGAGAGAGTATAATTATAAATAAAACTGCGATCGTTGGCAGTGCTTACTGCTACTATCATCGAGTACTACAACTTCCTGTTTACAAAGACCAGATTGGCTCTTCTACTCACATTTTAAGCTGAAAGGACTATTGGCGAACGGTAAACAATTCGTGATTCCATCGTATTGCTTATTTTATTACGAATAAAAGTTCAGAATAAGACCTTTCTGACACAATTATCACCGTGTGTACAGTTTTCATCTTTCTCATTAAGAGATTTATGACAACAAGATTTACTACAGCACGTATTTCAACAAGAACACCCCACCAACCAATTCTTGGTTTGCAAACACGTGACTAGGCGGCCATGTTGGTGGTCAATACAATGAAATTCTTTTCGAAGAATTTACATAAAAATAGAGTTTAGTTCCCAGAGGGGAGAAATGCTTTGTTCTTGACCTCCAACAAGGCCTCTGTGACTTCACCTGCGAACCAGCAATAATAGCAAGTAGACCCAGACATATGATTTTGAAAAGCTTTTCAAGAACACTCAAATTCTTGGCGCAAAGCGACTCGGAGGGGAGGGGGTAGGTGTTGGTAAAGAGGAAGAAAGGCTTGCTGCATATTAAATTAACCGCGTTTGCTATGATTACCAGCTGACTTTTGGGCAATAAGAATTCTCAAGCCCCCTTTCCCGCCCCAAATGTACGAAAAAGGTAATTAGACGTTAAAAAATGTGTGTGTCGTTTTTATACAAATATCAACTTCCCCCGATAATCAATATTCAAGATAGTGTGTAAGAGAGCCGCCATTACTAACATGCTCCATAGTCCGCAGACTGCCAAGGCCAATTAGCATTCTGTGAGGCTCATCACGCCTTTCCCCAGAGCCAATTTCCTTGCACATCCGAAGACTGGGTTAATACGCCAAATGTAGATCGATGGGAAACGAAATAATTCAGTGCTGGAAGTCTATATCCTATTGCCTTTACCCAAGCCAAACAAAAAGTGCAATAGAGAAAGCCAAGTATTGATGATCGCCATGTGTAAGCATTCACTTCATTGTTTCAGCTACCTTTAAGTAATTGCGGTTGTTTTCAGTGAGTCAGCGCTCTTCATTAGCTTTTTCGCGAGATTGCTTACCATCCATTAGATTGAGGAAGAAGGAGTCTTCCAACTCCACTGTCTTCCTACGCAAAACTATGCTTTCATTATTCGCAGATTGCTTAACTTGAGTAAGTGAAATTAAAAATGAAACGTCTATTTGTGAGTGTGCCAAATTTAGCTCATAGGCCACTTTTCAGGAAATGGTATTTTGAGGAAATTTTCCTCTCGAACTGAGACGAAATTGGACCGTCCTTAAACATTCCAAGCAAACTTGATATTTTGGCGAACGGTAAACAACCAAAGACTCTATTTTGGTGCTTGCTGATTTATAAATAAAAGTGTAAAATAAGAATTTACCCTGATATTAAATTGATGACTGAGTACTGGACACTGATTACCTATCATCAAAATATTCGTTAAGAGTTGGTACACGTGTGTATAATACATGAACATAATAAATCCAATCAGTAAGAAATTTTAAATAATTAACTTGCTCAATTACAAATTGAAAGAGTGATTTGATAGAAAAAAAATGATGATGAAAAATCATAATGAAATAACACGATAACGCCATACTTATTTATAGACTGAGATAAAATCAAAATTCTGTGGACAATGCAAGTTAAATTTTAGCCCTCGTTATTATAGGAAGGCACTTATATCATTAGGTTGTCGAAGAGCCTGCACGTATTAAGGGTATACTTTTGTCTTGTGTTGTTTTGTTTTAAACCGGTGCATTTAGTACATAATACACGAGGAAGGAAGATTGTGGACCCACAATTGCTATTAAAAGCTAAAAAGCTCGTAGATAGGGGGCTTACAAGGAGTAGCTTTTGTATGGCATTAAATAACAACTCAATATCGTAATTAGTGTATTAAAACCGTATAAAATAATTAAATTAATTCAACTGGAAAACGCGAACCTTAAACCGATAAGAGTACTAAACCTTGCCGACGCAACTTCCTTCTTTATCAAGGTTTTTAAAAATGAAATTAAAAAAATGTATTTATAATTTTCAAAGTAATCAAGGTAATTAACAGGCATAGTTTTTGAAGAATGTCTATTTTTAAAAGTGTCAAATATTGAAAGATTTCACGGCGGGTCAGCTGTCATCAAAAAGTGATCTCTTTCAAACTAGTTTTTCAATTTTTAACCCTTTGAGCTGAGACTTTGCACGATAATAGAACTTTGTAGTCCCAAAAATCGCGTGTTTTTGGATTTTGGATTTGAACGGTTTTTGGCGCTAAGAGCGACAATAAACTATAAATTTCAACTTATGCCATAACAGGTTACCAATTTTGAAAGAGTGCTCAGAGAAGAACTTAAATGTGAAAAACGTTTTTGAAAACCTCATTTGGTTAAGAAGATATGACATTCTAAAGATCACCAAATTTCTAAAAATAGTAACAAAATGGCGGAAAATACGAAATTCGCTGCTCAATCACTTTTCAACCAACTAAGCTTTACAAATTATTTTTTTACATTTGAGCTCATCTCTGTAAGTTCTTTTAAAAGTTCTAGTTTTTTTAAGTTTAACGCCATAAGTAGCCTGCGTGGAAGGCGTTTAAAAGGGAAGGGAAAGGGGGTTTTGGGCGCGAGGAGGGGGGGGGGAGGGAAACGCCTGGCAGGAAACCATTGTTTTCGCCATCCCGCCTACTAATTATGTACGCAAAAATAACGCAACTGTGAATGACTAGCTGTCAAATAAGTCTGGCCGCGATGCGCCTATTTAAGTCGCATTTCACGTACTGTTTTCATGGTTTTTCCTTTGTTCAGTCCCAAAACAAGAAATCTGAAGTGAAGGTACTATGAAAAAAAAGTATAAATGCGGTCGTCCGTTGAAGGAAGAAAGTCGCAACCATACGTGGCTTGTTATATAAAATCCAGCATAAATCTATTACTTTTTTGCTGAAGGTATCGTGTTGGACTCGGGGTTGGACTTCCCAACTTGCACGTAATGTTGGTCGAAGAAATTAATTACAAACACTTTCCCGACTCTCGAACTGGATCCAGCGGAGCATACAAAAGAACGCTGGTAGCAGGGAAAGGAAGAGCTGAACTTCAAAGATCTCCAATAAGGCTAATTCTGCAATCAATATTATTATTAAAGTAAGTTCCTGGCGGCTTTATAACGTCTATAACCAGCAAGAAGTCGTAAAACCAAAAATCGCTAAGGATTATAGATCGCTTCGTCTTCAACAATCTGGTCGTTGATAAAGGGTAGCTTGCGTGGTAGGCGTTTGAGGTCAAACAGCAGATAACAAGCACACAGGCAGCATGATTTTTCCTTTCTTTCTTCTAGTGAGTAAACCAAGCCGTTGGGCCAGACAAGACTTCGCAAAACCAGTCAGCACAACTCATCTAGCTGACAGGTCTTTTCCTTCATACGAGTCTTTTAACTGCTTTCTTCTATTCTCCTTTCAAACTGAAATAGATGGCTTCAGTTTCTAATCGTTCTAAAACGATGAATTCCATACAGAAATCTCATCACGCCTCACTAACAACATATTTTTAAATGATTACTGAAAGATTTCTCAATAGCGTGATGTTGATTTCAGCCAATCGGATTAAGGTATTAAGACTGTGATTGACATGTTTTGAAGACGGACCAATCAGGATTTTAACATTTGCCTGGTGGATGTTAAAAACGAGAAAAACAATGGTCTCCTGGCAGGCGTTTCCCTCCCTCCCTCCTCGCGCGCCCCTCGCTTTTCTCGCACCTAAAACTCCCTTTCCCTTCCCTTTCAAACGCCTGCCACGCAGGCTACGCCATAAGTCGAAAATTATTTTTTGCTGTCAATCTTATGACGTCATTTTCGCCCCACTGAAAAACCGCTAAAATCAAAAATCAAAAAAATTACGATTGTTGGGAATACAAAATTCCATTATCGTGCAAAGTCTCAGCTCAAACGGTTAAAAATTGAAAAACTAGTTTGAAAGAGATCATTTTTTTTATGACAGCTGACCCGGGGTGTTTTAGATCAGAGAGAAACGAGTTTTGGTTAGCTGTTTTCCTTGGTGTACACCTGTATAACAACAAAGTCCTTGGATAGTGATAAGGGTGTAATCGGGAAATAGGAGGCAAAAAAATTGTCGTTCTTTGAGATCTCGTTATAATACTTTTTTTTCTTTCAAATATGCAATCAAAGAAGGATTTTAATATACTTTTTCGTTTGATACAATTTATATAGGCGACAACAATCAATGGATTTTCTAATGAATGCTATGGTGTAATTTAAGCAAATTGGCAGACCAAATGGTAAAGAAGCATCTAGACAAGTTCAATAACACTACTCGGTGCCAAGTTTGTCATGCGTTTGATAGAATAATTAAACCTAAATTTGATCTATATTCTTTAAATTTCACTTGACCTTGCTGCATGCTTGGCAGACCAATAGCATCTTAAATGTAAAGGGACAAATTTTGACCAATAGCATCTTAAATGTAAAGGGACAAATCATTGACATTCCCACAAATCATTTTCTACAATGCAGCTAGCAAGTTATCTTATAGCCAATTTCGTTCAAACGGGCTGCGCGTTTTTAAGAAGCATTTTACTGTGAATCGTGCATTTCTATCGACTCTCTTTGTTTCTGTGTTTCAAGGTTCGTTGCTTGTGATCGCTCTGTTTCGGGAAATAATCGAATAGTTTTCTTCGAAGATTTTTCTGATCTTTCTTGTTCTTGACTCTTGCAAGAATAAAGCATGTCTGCTCCTGCTCTCGACAAAAATTCCATTCATCATCGCAATTTCCTTCGCTATTCTCAGTTTTCTTTTGCGGGCCAAGCTGGGCGAGTGCGTTGCATTGTGATTTGCATAAACCCCGCCTCCACTCAAATGATTGACGGTACAGAAACGAGCAGCGCGATACAACGAATGAATTTGGTTATAAAGGGAAATATGCTCCCTTGCCTTTGTGGCGGAGCTCTCCTTTCTCGCGCGCAGCGGAGCACCACGGGTAAGAAAATTTGATAACCTATGCATCCGAGACGTTTTGGTAGTCACATGACCGTACGTCCGTCCACCCATCCGTCCGCACCACAGGCACACCAATATAAAATAACCCAATCAACAGGTATGGCGACCCAAAGGCAACTCAAGGTTTTATTTGGAAGGAAATTGCTTGGTCGCCCGGACTTTTTGAGAGAAAAAATCAACAACAAAGTTGTGTCTTTTTCGACGTTATTTTTGATGTTTACCCTCAAGTGGAAAACAGAAAAAGAGCTATATTACAAACTTTGCAATTAGCTTTGAAGAGTGGATAGTAATTAAAACGTAAAGTACGTAGGCGAACCAAATGAAACTAAGTTACCTGATCTCTGACGAGCCAACCTGACCTTCATGCAAGAATTGGTTGGTTCAAAGAAAGTGTACCTTTCCCCTGTGGGCCTGCTACATTTACACCAACAACCTCCAAGAGGCTGAGCGTTGTATTTACTGCGTGAAGGAGATACATTATTATTTCCGTCAACAGGGCATTCAGCAGCATTTCTGGGCAGTTTAAGGTCGTCCTCTACCGCGAACCAGTGATGCCTGTCGATATGAACATCTGTGACTGAGCATGGACTAAACTCAAGCAGTAGAGCGCAATCAAATAGGGGACAAACGTAGCCATGCTACTACGAGAATTCTAACTGTTACCAAAGGCAAATAGTCTGAAGAGTCTGTAAGATTATAAATCTGTTAATAGCACACAATTCGTCAGATAAATCCAGACAGGAGAGAGAATACAGTCAGATCAATCAAAAAACCTTTCGACTGAATATGGTGTTCGTCACAAAATGTTAAGTTAGACTTCCTCTCTCTGGAATGAACACTTCCACGCGAGCTACGAATTCCTGCTGAAGATTCGTTGAGCCGCACAAACCATAATTAGAACTGAATATCGAGTTAAAGGGTTTATATTATAGTTTCAAAAACTCTTCAAATGTGGTGATTTTAACAATGAGTGCTGCCACGCAAACTACGAATGCCCGCTGAAGATTCGTAGAACCGCACGAACTGTATATTGAGTTGAAGGGTTTGTATTTTAGTTCTCTACTACGGGAAAATTACAAGAAGATGAATTCATTCACATCTGAGAGGGGTTGGAAAATTTTCTCAACCACACACTCAAAACAAAATGTCAAAGGACATGATCTAAAGCAAACTCCGTTCTGTGAAATACAATTACGGAATCTTCATTCGTTACACTGCAGATTCTTATTTATTTTAAGCAATTTCCTGCTTAATAAAAGTGCTTCAACCAGCCAAAAATATGAAGCAAAATTTTTGTGCCCAGATCGGAAAGGAATCGTATCGTACTTCTTCAATACAACTAAAACGCATGAAACAGTGCATGCATGCTGCAACTTAGACTGGTGAGCCACTTTGTACAAAAAAATTATATAGATTTAGCCAGGGCTAAAAGCGAAACTCTCGATACTCTGTGTAGTTTGCTCAAAATGTAAAATCGTGTGATGCTAAGCGGTGATAGGCAACGAGAACGGTAAAAAAAAACACAAAAGGCATCGTTTTATTACTACAGCTCTGTTTCGTGTGGCCAAAAGATGACCACACTCATCAGGTAATCGTGAACAACGAGTAACCGTTAGATTACAATAACTGGCTTTATCCTCTCTTGATGGATTACATAGAAAAAAATCTGACCATTTTACCACTCGTAATATGATCACCCGCGTTTTGATCTTGTACGACGTGAAACGTAAGCAAAACACAGCACTGGAGTAGTCTGAAATGTCATCCGTCTCTTTGCCCCACCACCAACGAAACGAGCGAAGAGACGGATGGCATTACATTGGAGTAGAAGGGTTTACATCGACTTCACCCGCACTCCTTAACCTTCAAGATTTTTTTATTCTCTTACCTTTTAGTGCCTTAAGTTACTTCATTTCCCCCTTAGGTGCAGGGTCACGGATCTGTTCGCATGAGCAAGAAACGTGGTCAGTGTCACAAAATGTACTGTAACCGCAGGAATTTATAGTTTTTATTATTTCATGCTTCCAAGATTTTTTATCGCAATGCGACCAGGTGACGCAAACGGATCCCACAAATCCACTATTTCGACTTCCACCATTTCGTCATTACTGTGTATACACTGTACGAGAGGCATAACTTGCAAATTGCAAGGAAACTGTTTGTGGAGTCTGGAAATAACGCTGAGCGAAAAAAAGGAAGGAATGACAACCAAAAGTCTAAAATAATCTACGGCTGTTCATGGTCACGTGACCTAATTTGCATATTATTTTACATGGAATTGCATAACTTTTCAGATTCATTATTCTGCTCAAGTTTTGCTTCTATAGGCCTTAATCCTCAAGATATAGACCACCCCTCAACTTTTGAAGAAAATTGAAAAAAGACTTAATTTACTTGAGGTATAGAATTTGATGCATTTCGAAGTGCAAGTTCCTTTATTAGGTCAAGCATCGCGGTGTTGTTACGATCGACTAATTCTTTGGCTTCTTTTTGGGAAAACTGGTTCACGGGTTCACCGAAATGCGAATATAGGGTCCTTTCAGACTTTCAGTATGCTGGTTTTTTGCCACAATTGAAAGCCTCTCTAATTTCCCCGCTGGACTTTGCTCCTCCCAAGATAGAACTATGACGCGCTAAATTCACTTCATGTTCGCGGTAAAAGCTCCTTTGAAGCTTTCTAATTTGGTTGTAGTAGTCACGAGAAGCGGGCTACCCAAGTGCTACTGAAACTTTAGTTACAGCATCCTTTAAAAAAAAAGATTGCCTGACTCTACAATTTCCACGGACATTGAAAATATCCAAAGGTTACGATAAATCTAATCTGTCAAATTGTTGGAAAATTCGTCGACGAACGCGCAAAGAAAACGAACAAAAGCAAGAAATAACAACAGCAACAACAACAGGAACTATAATGTTTATTTCTAATTCTTGTATTTTATAGTAAATCACTCGCACCTTAAACTTTGCGATGACAAGTATTCCTTTTATTATATCACATTTTTGGGACGCCGGTGAGACCCCCCCAGTCCTCCCTCGGGAGGAGTATGTATAGGATAATGCTTAAGCTCTGAGGTCTTCTCAGGGACGCTTGGTTGGCCTTACATGGAAGCATTAACAAATGATGACCGAGCGCGCAGAACAAGGGAGGCCAAGAAGCGAGGGTATTATCCGGTTTAATGCACTCTCCCATCGTTTTAGAACCAGCAGGTGATTATTCGGAGCAATCACCTCCTTAACGTTTCGCCTCAGTGACCTGCTCTTCCATTAATTCATTGGAAAAAATAAAATAATAGAAAGGTGCATTAACAAGATATAACATAAAAGTGTATGATAAAATTATTTTACTTGTTTTCGGACTACCAAGCGTCAACAAATAGCGCATACAATTATGTATTCCCGCCAGACATATCGCGCTAATAAGTTAAACCCTTAGTAAAAGCAATACTTGGGTGCATTATTTTAGCCATTATCCCAAACACAACAAGAACACGTAGTTGGACTTTGCAAGACCTGATTGGAGTGGGCTAGTATCACCCACCAATACATTGAATTATCGACTAAAGTAATAAAACAATATTAAAAAATGTTGATGGCTTTTACAGGTTACTTAAAACATGCCGTGAACTCAAGCCTCTAAAGAACTTCCTCACTTCTTTTTCTCAGTTTTGCTTACAAAAACACAGTTTCATTGCAAATGAAAAATTAACAACACCTTTAAAGCACCTATTTTTAGAGCGAAATTATGTCATGTGATTTTTCCGATCTACGACGTTACTGTGGTACAGTATGTATCGGCTGCCATACAGCCGTTGATCTTCAGTCTTATTAGACACTCGAGAATTATGATCATCGCCATCATCTTTCCGAATTCGTCACCGTCATCGTCGTTCTTCTCGTCCATTTTCTCACCATCTTCCTCATTATAGGTGCTCAAGTTGGCAATAGAAAGACAAAAATGACCCAACTGGAAAGTCAGTTTAAAACTCACTTTAATCAATTCCCACTTCCGATTATCATTAGATATTCAGGACCCTCTTCTTCAATGTCGGGGAAACCATGCAGACCAGATTGATGACGACTGTGCGCAAGCTGTACGGCGCTTCTCTTACACATTTCGACATACTCCTCAGGATCGGTTCTCTCCACTGAAAAATGGCTTGTGCTGCTACGCGATAGGGTTTCATACGACAAACCACAAGCTCTATCATTTAGCCGCAAATGCTCGTCGTTTTCACCTTCATCAGATAACTTATTCTTTGCACTTAGGTTCTCGTAATGTTTACCAGGGGAAATTGCAGATGACCTGAATTTCCCAGTTTCGACGAGAACCAGATTTCCAGGTCCTTCTTCTTCTTTGGATAAGCCATTGCGACCATATTTATCTGCACTATCTGCAAACTCCACGCCTCGTCTCTTTCCCATTTCAAAATACTCCTCAGGATCTGTTCGTCTGTTCGTGTCTTCGAAATTTTTATCTATATAATTGGCCGATGACCTGACTTCAACAGATGGTGGTGATTGTTGATTAGCAGAGGCATCATCACCGAGGCTTCCGAGAGAGGCATCAGCGGGAACGCACCCCGTTGTAGTCCGCGAGATTAAAGAAGGAGGTGTGATTCCTACACGATTTGCGTAAGCGTAATCATAAGTTCTCTCAGAGCAAGAAGCTCCTTCCATCATCATGTATCCAGTGTTAGTTTCCACAGAAAAGGACTGTGGATAGTATAAAGAGAAAATAAATAAATAAGCAAAGAGATAAATGAATCAAACAAGATCAAAATTAAACAATCTGTTACTTGTACATGATTTGCGTAAGCGTAATCAGAACTTCTCTCTGGGGAAGAAGCTTCCTCCATTATCATGTCTCCAACATCAGTTTCCTCGGGTGAAGACTGTAGAAAATATATAAATAAATGAATAAGAAGAACAAATAGAATCAGCTTATACCCTAGCCTTGACTGACTTAGCCAATCCCCCTTTTGTGACTATGATATTGAAAACAGGCAATCGGAAAACTTGTGATTTCACTTTCTTCTCACTAACAGCAGACAACTATTGAACCGTGAGAACGAGGAATTATTCCCAGAGTCTTCCATAAACAAAAAGTGTGCCATAAGTTCTCCAACATCGGCAACACGAAAGATCCTTTATCATAAATGTCCAGATGATGTTAAATAATTGCTAATTTACTTTAAAGGCGCACCTGCGAAATGTTTCGGCTGGAAATTGTGCCTGCAGAAGAAATAAATGTGGAATTAAGAAGTGCTTCATTATGAGCATATGTGATTGTATGTTTCAAAGTTTTTTTCAGATTGCCCCTCTACTCGATTTGCATCGTGATGACAATCTTATGTGATCATGCTGTTTTGAACTGATTACAACTCGATTGTAACTAAAAATTTAAAGTCACCCTGGCGACTACTTATTTTAAAATATTAATGATAGTCAAAGACAAACATCAGTGTTTACCAAGTTCGACCGCGAACCTGGAGAATGTTTAGACTTCAAAGCTACTTCAAAGAAGTGCCAAACGTTAAGATTAAAAAAAATGTCTGCCAGCTCGTAAAGAACATTTTACTGTGGTTGACAGTTTTCTTACTGCATGATGGTAGCTTTATTTTCGAGCTACTGCTTTACTCGAATTACTGACTGCTATGACCTTATAGAATACGAATACGTTCGCCAATCAGGGAGGGATTGTCATAGTACATCTTTTTTTATTAACATGAATGTGAAAAAGATAGAAAGTTACCTTCAAAGAGATGATTGGGACGTTCTTGCTTTCTGTAAGGTAAAAGGTAACCAGAGAAGGTTTTTTAATTATTATTTCTTTTTTATTTATTTTTTCCTTTATGAGTTACGTTGTTTTCTCTTGTTTGAGCATCTGTCAAAAAGCAAATTAGGCTTTTTACACTGTAAAGACCATATGTTATGCTAAAGAGTGCACGAGTATTGCCTGACAAGGCAAAAACGTACCACTGAAAATGTTTTGGTAACCTACGTCTTCTACTGTATCGAACGTAATAAATAATATACCGAGTACTGGACATCGATTATAATTTTGTACGTTTTATTCTAGCACATCTAGTCAGTACCTGTGTGATGAGTACGACTTACATTATTACGTCAGTGCAGTGACATCTTTCTTATTCTTACTATTATAATTGTTTTGTTTAACGTCGATGTCAAATGATTACACAGTACACATCAATCGTATCCTCATTATTTTAATACAGTAAAGGTTTACCTGCTTACCGATAGCGATAGCGATAGCGATAAACTAAGAAAGTGCCCACAATCAAAAGGAATGCAATGAAGGCAGCTATCGCCAATGTCGCCAATATAATGACATCTTTGGTCAGCACATTACTGCTTTCACGGTCTGGGCTTGTTGTAGGGCAAATCTAAAGGTGAAATGATAATAATAACTAGAAGTTCTCATTGAGAAGGGAAGTGCTGCCGTTAGTTGCGATGCGAATAGGACAAAGACAGTTTGTTATTCATTTTAATAATTCACGAAATTCTAAAACAACAGCAGTGCTGATAGGCTGTTTCTTCACCGAACAATCATCGTACACAGGATGAGATGAGTTGCGAACAAATAACGTAAAGGCCAAAACTTGTTTATTCACAGGTCAGGTAACTTGCAATCCTGATTCCCGAGATAACAATCTGTGTGACAAAAGAATACTCGCTATAACTAAGCTTGAAACCGAGAATAAAAAAATAAACCGAAAAAATGTTCCGTACAATACTTCTTGAACTGTTCTTACCGTTTAGCCCGTTTAAAAAAGACAGCAAACATCCGATGGACTACGATTTCTGCACAGATCTTACAAAGAGAAAAACGGGCGAGGCAGCTAAGCACTTGCTAAAGCAAACCGATGAGTGCACAGCGCTGCAGTCACAGATTGATTGAACATCGAACCATGGAACCATTGAACGAAAAATCTCAAATCGCTCAAGAATATGGTCTGCTGGCGGCTGATGCCCGGCAGCAATTATAAATGTAAATTATAATTATCATAGAAAAATCTCCCAGAATCCTATGAGGCATTTTTTTTAAAAAAAGCTTTATAACTTTCAGACCAGAACAAGATGACATTTGCCATTAAAGTTCTTCCCCTGTCACATCTAGGGTTATGCGTCATCAGTCACGTGGCTATTGCCGAATTAGGTTTTTTTTGTTCTGTAACAAGATTTCGTGGTCGAGTTTAAAACAAAGAGCATTTTTGATGCAGTGGAAATTTGCAGAAAAGTAATGTTTTACCTGATAATTATTTTTTCATGACCCAAAAAGGGACATGACGTCATCAGTCACGTGATCAAAGCGTTTTGAATGTTTTAGTTCGTTTTTAAGTACATTTTTCGTCGCAAATTGGCAAGTTTTTGTTGTTTTTTCCCAACAATTCTTTACACTGTATTGTCTCTGAGTAATTATTATTCCATTTTTAAAGCAGAAATTCAAAATTCGTGTAAATAGACCGACATTGCAAGTTAAAATCGAAAAGGAGACCTACTTTTGAGACTTTTGTAAAAGCCTTTTTAAACTTAACTGTTTGTTTGCCGAACCTCGGTTAAAAAAGAGAGAGGTCATGTAGCAGCTCTTCTAACCGTAGAAGCCAAATGGTTTGCTATCCTAACCTAACCCTATCGAAAACCTATTCAAATTTCTTTTACAAATCATGTCCGGCATTGTATGGTCTTTTAGGTTCAAAAGGCAGGGAAGCCAAATTTTATAGTTATATTATACAAATTTTTCATTATCTTTTTTCTGATTGGCTAATTGTGCAAATAATGCATCATGATTCCAAGCATAGTAATCAAACATTGTTTTGTGTGATGGTTTGTTTGTCCATAAGTAGGTTAAGTATGATCGTCCTGGTAAACGTAGTCCTGAATAGGACTGTAGCTGTTGACAGTGACTGACGTTTCGACACTGTGCGGTAGTCATCTTCAGAGTCAAAGTGGGTTGTATCACGTCAGTTGACGTTATTAAACTCTGGTTATTGACCTGATTGGTCAATTAAGTTGCCATGTTTTTGGTCGTCTGTCTGTTAATCCGTGATGTTATGAGCTATGAAGAATCGTAATGTCATTGGTGCGTTTCGATTCGTCTATTGTCAAAGTTAAACAGTGGCTTATTGTTAGTCAAATTGTCAGTTGTCCAGTCGTTCTCTCGTATTTTGTTTTGCTTGATTCCGTCCGTTGTTGTTCCTTTCCTCAAAAAATTGTATGAAACAATTTTTAGATGCAGTTTCTCGGACATCTGGAATAATCCAGGTCTCGGTAAGTGTTATATATATAATACTTTCCCCAACATTGATTATTCAGGATATCTTATCCAATAATTGTTTAACATGCAGCCAGGCTTTGTATTAACAAATGTAATAATATACACAAAAAAATTACTTAATTCTGATTGGCTGAGAAAGGAGTGCAGCTCTTCTGTAACACGAGTGCAAAATGTGTAACACGAGTGCAAACTTGTAACACGAGTGCAAATTACAAATGCTTTCTGATTGGCTGAAAACACAAAAGAAACCTACAAGAACCAATCAGATTAGAGATGTTTTAACAACAAAAATTCAAGAAAATGGCCATGGTTTTCAGCAGACGACAGCGGGATTTAATTTTGTAAGCAAAACAACAATAGAAAAGTTAAAAAAATATTCCAAAAACCCGAACACAGTAAAAAGTACGTCTTTCTGCCTAAATGTATTGAAAATGCGTTGCTAAGAGAAAAATACTGTCAACAAAATCGAGGAAAATGAGCCAGAGAAACTAGAAAACAAGCTACTTATAACAGACTACGCTAAAGTAAGAAAATAAAGAACAAAAACGGTTGCAACCACACACAAACCATGACAGCTACAGAATGAACAAGGATACAATTCCATGATAACAACAGGGATTTCAAGTCATGTACGTAATTTGTTGCTCTCTTTGAGTCTTGTGGAGCGAAGACCTCTATTAAAACATCCATGCGATGGTCTGTGTTTTTTTCTACCTCAGTAGCAAACGAAACCGAAAATTTAAACATCTGGTCCAAACTAAACCAATGGGCGAAAATACCACAACTCACATAATGAAAGTATCCGCAGCTGGTACTTGCATTAAAGAAAGTGAGAAAAAAGTTTACGAATCATTGTACAAGAAAAACAACAGTCAGGATGCTGAAGAAGCAAACATTGTAAGTTCAGAACATATCGTCAGTGTCACAGGTCACAGAGGTATAAATTTCCTTAACGACCACGATGAAGCCGACTAAGAAGAGCTACGATGACTCTTGCAGTAGGCCAAATAAGATAATTAAAACTCCAGCGCTGATATAAAGCAAATATTATATAATACTGGCAGTTTCCGATATCACAACAATTGTGGCTCCACTCACCCATCGATGGCAGCGTCGAAGGAAAACAAATTGCCTCCTTCATCTTTGAGTTCTAAATCTCAAAAATTTGTCCATGAATCCGGCTATGATGAGGTCCCAGGAACAGACAATGATAAACAGTCGTTAAAAAACCTTAGCAAGTGTCTTTCATCTTTGGCTGCTCGAAGCGTTCTCCTGATTTCAAAACGGCAGTATACTTCTTGAAAACGCTTCTTGTAAACGCCGAGCTGTCATAATCGAGGATGAATTTAAAAACACTTACTTTTCCTGATTGTTGTAAACCAAGTTATCTTTAACCGGCTGGTGACCATATAAAAAAAATCCTTACACATTTCCAAGTTCTCAGCTGAATGATTTTGAAAGCATTGGTCTGGAAAAAGTTTGAATTTGACAAAGGTAGTAGTCTGTTTCAGCCAATCAGTTGAATGAACTAAAAACGCGCGCGCTGTCAAAATTTGTTGTTGTAGT